ACGGCGTCGAGTGTTGCGGCGCGCCAGAGATTCCAGACTGGCCCGTGGAATGTGCCGTTAGAGTTTGACCAAAAGAAGAGCTTGGCATGAACGGCTTAAAGGTGGAAGCTGGGTTTCGCGGCTGAGGCTGGAAGTGATGCGGGGAAGTTGGTGAAGCGGCTTTGCTGCCAAAAGGATCGCTCTCGAAAGGCTTGCTGAATGTAGCTGATCCGCCGGTTGATTGTGGCTGCTGAGGAGGAGCAGGAACCGGCGCTGTGAAGGCGTCCAGACCGAAGAGATCATCAGCAGCAGATTTGGGAGCAGGGGGAGGTGGAGGTGGGGGTGCCACTTGGGGTAGGGGAATCTGTGCAGCTTGGTTCGCGGGGGTGCGCAGGCTTGGTGGAATCAAATTGGGCGGCAAAGTTGTAGGGAGTTGATCTCCCTTCCGTTGCTGCCGAATAAGGTACATGGCTACTGCGAACTCGTCCTTGGATAGCTGTCCTTCGGAGTTGATGTCTGCAAGATCCCATATACCTGCAAGAACATCCTCGGGCAGACCCGAGTCACTGAAGAAGCGTACTGCCTGGTCTCCGGTGATGAAGCCGCGGCCCATGGTATCTACACCCTTGAACAAGTTGTCATACGATGCCTTCTCTTGCGGGCTGATTAGCCAGTCGTTTCCAGCAGGCGGTGCGGGCGGGGGAGCCGCTCCAAAGGGTTGCCGGCCGAGTGGGCTTGGCTGCCGTGGTGCAGACTGCTGGCCGCTGAATTGACGTGGGATAGCCATGCTCTGGTCTGGACGTCCTGGTGGCGGCGGAAGTCCTCCACGTCGAGAAGCGGCTTCATACAGGCCCGGAGGCAGCGTGTTTGGGAGGGCCTTCATATTTCCTGTGCGATACGATGCGAGTAGGTGCATAGCGATGATGAACTCTGTAACATTGAGGGCTCCGCGCTGCTCCGTGTCTGAAAGGTTCCATATCCGACCAAGAACTTCATTTGGTAACCGCGCCTTCTCAAAGATTTCTTTTGCGTTTTCGCCTGGAAGTTATTAGCCAAGAGTCAGGTTGGAGTATGAAGTAGGGTTGTACCTGAAAGGATGCCATTGACTGCACCAGACTTCTCAAACAAGCCTGCGTACTCGGCGGCTTTGGCAGGGACTAGCGGAGGGACACGGATTGGGCCGTTGCCACTCACTTGAGGCTGGATGGAGCCGGTTGGTTGTGGGGAGAAGCCAGGGGCGGCGGGAGGAGCCGATGGTGGTGTTAGACCCTCAAACTTTGGCAGGGGGGCGGCTACTTGAACGTCAGCGCATGTGATCAACGAGACACAAGAGGAGTCGCAGGAGTCGTACGTCTAAAGGCAAGCTCTGGAGTAGGGTCTCGTCCTGCCTGGTAGTGTCCAATGAGGCGCAGGACCTGGCAGAAGCCGGCCATGGTCAAGAGACCGCGGTTTTCCGTGTCTGCAATCTGCCATATTTCACCAAGGACAGCTGGTGCTAATTTGGTCCGCTCGAAGAACTTGACGGCGATCTCGCCTGTTATGACGCCGAGCTTTTCTGTGTCGGCTTGCTGGAAGAGATACTGGAAGACGCGCTTTTCCTCTGGCGTCAGGTTGAGGATGGGCTGATCTGCGCCGCATTAGCAGGAGCTTCGCGATACATGGACATGTGCCAAGGAGAACAGTCGACATACTCAATTCTCCGCTTTGTGACATGTCCGCCATGATTGTGCGCGGTTAGACAATGGCTCTGGTGGGGAGAGAGGCAGAAGCCTAGGGTTGACGAGGCTGCGAGTTCCCAGTGCTGTTGTGGAATAGGCGCGGGGAAACAGGCAACAGGCGGCCGGGCGTGGGAAAGTCGGGGGGCTGGCAAGCGGCGGGGGATGGCGGCTGTAGCAATGGCAGCTATGCACGGGGAGCTGCAGAGCAACAATGAGAGATGGCGTAGGGCGGAGGTGGAGGAGGAAAAGCCGGAACGGCGTGGTAGGCGTGGGATGCGAGAGCAGCAATGTTGCGACTATAGTATGCTGGCAGGGTGAAGTGCTAGGCGGAAGCTACCTGGCCTAGTGCCGTGGTTGATGCGCGCCCTCGCCCGCCAACTCATCATTGGGCGGCCACAGCAGCTGTCAGCTCCCCTTCATCCTATCACGTCGCCGCACATGACCGTCCTCCGCACAGCAACCAGAGGGGCCACATACAGTCACATTTGCATCTGCGATGTGAAAAGCTCGCTGCACCTCCAACCAGCCACTTGCATCTCGCCTATCCCGTCTGCGAACCCACTTACACGTACATACTGCCATCCGTATCGGAACAAGCGGCTGTGCAGACAACATCCTGGTCCTTGTCCTACTAGGGTATCAATTGGTCTTCGCTACTCTATACGAAAGACGCCGTCTCATGACTTCGTGGTTACAGGTTTTGTACAGGCGGAGTGGTGAAGAAATAAAAGTGCGACGACAACGATGACGACGACGACGACAAAGATAACGGCCCAACATTGACGTGGAAGCAGAACAACAGCGTTTCATCGCCGCTCGCTCTGGCCGCGGCCGTCCTTTTCCCTGCTGCATTTGGCAAACGCCAGGCTGGGACTGCCTTCATCTCGCATCCCCCACGCCCGTCCCAGAAGCCAATCCGTGACACTAATCATCTTGGCAGTCCGATCCCAATGCTGGCCCTCATCTGTATGCTCGATGATGTGGTTCAGAATCCGTCCTTCCTCGTCAAACTCAAACTTGAACAAGCCTGTGAATTCCTGCTGTGGCCGCTTGGATCCAGCAACAATGCTCGTGATCTTCTCCACTACATCGCTGACCTGCCCGCTCTCTTTCTTGTCCGACTTGCCGCATGTCTGCCATTTGACAATGAGTTTCTCGTTGCGCACATTGCTTGCTGTTGAGCACCCTCCATTCTTCACCATACGCTCAGACAATATCTTGAGCTTTACATTGCCCAGTACCGGGACCTGACCCCATGCGACCGGTGCTGTCCATAGTGCTGCGGCGTACGAGAACCTCCCACTTACAGTAGGCAGGTGTGGGTGCGTCGAGGGAAATAGGTGGAGGCTGATATGCGGAGAGAGGATGTCCTGGGGAAGTGGCGATATCAAGAGCGTCGGTAGGCGCTCATGTAGGACCCTGATAGCTGTCGTCTCTGTTAGCAATACATCCCATTCCTCGTGTAGCAAACATACTGTTTCCCAGCTTCAGGTCGCGCTCGCTCATGCGCTTCTTCTCGCACTCACCGGGCTCGGAGTTCGAGTATGGCGACGAGCTCGTGAACCAATGCCTCGACACCGACGCCCGTCTGGAGCCGACATCGCTGAGAGTCCTCTTGTATTGCCTCAGCCCTAGTATTCGGGGCGCCGTGAGCGAAGTCGCAGTCGTCGTGGCTTCAAGTTGCGTGCGGGCAAACGTCGAGAAGAAGCGCCGCATCAGACCGCTGGTCATGTGTGTGGATGGGAATATGCGACCATGTGTAGGGACAGGCGTAGACGTCTAGAAATATCTCTGTCGTTCGGCCAAATACGGATTGCGGAGGAATCGGTCGCTGGCATGACGCTAGTCAACTGCAGTTGCACCACCAAAGGCCGGGGTATTCGGTCGTGACGTAGGACTAGCGCGACTCTCCCCATGCCCCAAAACGTATTTCCCGTTATGGCTTACCGTGCTCGCCACATGCAACTTCGCACGCCCATGTCCCGGTGGGATAGGCTATTCTACATGCACCCGCACATGACGTTTATAAAGATGGAGGCTAGTCTCTCGTGGTTTCTCGATTCGAGACCCTCAAGATACTTTTACAGGGCCAACTAAGTCACCCCTCAATCCCATGAACCACAAAGGTAGATACACAACCCCGCAATTGTCCAACTGCATATACTGACAAATCATATCCTAGGCTAGAAGTCTCCTTCAAGACCAAAATAGACCAGCCAATTCCAATATCCTCCACCATGTCCTCCTCGGGCAAACGCATCGTCTTCACAGGCGGCTCAGGAAAAGCCGGGCGCCATGTGATCCCCTATCTCCTCCGGCAAGGCTACTCAGTCCTCAATCTCGACCTAATTGACTTTCCCGACCCGGAAGCCGGGGTCTTCACTCTGAAAACCGACCTTACAGACAGCGGTCAAGTCTTCAATGCCCTAACCACACACTTCAACTTCGCTGGCTACGAAGCACCACATATCCCAGGCCCGCCCGACGCCGTCATTCACTTCGCCGCCTACGCTCGCAACATGCTCGTGCCCGACAACGAGTGCTACGCCGGCAACGTGCGCTCAACCTACAACGTCATCGAGGCAGCCTGTAAACTCGGCGTCCGCAAGATCATCATCGCCAGCAGCGAAACAACGTACGAAGTCTGTTTCGGCCAGGGCAACCTCGACTACACCGCTTTCCCACTGGTGGAGGATGCAGACGTAAACCCAATGGATACCTACGCTATCTCCAAGCTCTGCGGCGAACGCGTAGCCCGCGGTTTCGCCCGCCGTTTCGACGCGGACATCTACGCCCTGCGCATCGGCAACGTCATCGAGCCCCACGAGTACGCCCGCGACTTTCCAAAATACATCCAGCATCCGGAGACACGCAAGCGAAACGCCTGGGCCTACATCGACGCTCGCGATCTTGGCCAGATTTGCCATTTGTGCGTGCAGAAAGATGGCCTGGGGTTCCAGATTTTCAATGCGACAAATGATACTATCACTGCTACTTTCCCCACGAAACAATTCCTCGAGCAGTATGCGCCTAATACCCCTGTTACGCGTGAGATGGGCGAGTGGGAGGCCCCGTTGAGTAACCGGAAGATTAAGGAGGTGTTGGGGTTCAAGGAGGAACATGACTGGCGCAAGTATTATAACCCTGATCATTAAATAGAATGGTTTTGTGAGGGAAGAAGGGAGGGAAGTAGATAAATAAACACACCTGTAATTCGAAGATGGAACTAGCTGAAGAATACGATGACCTGGCGGACATGGTAGAATTATACCAGTAGTTAGATTAATCTACTTCGATGTATCTCTAAGCTAACAGCGCAAAGAGCAAATACGTCTTCTTCGCATACTCCACCGCACTCCTCTTCAACCTCCCCACATCCACATCCTCCAACTCCATCTTCTTCCTCAGCGCCAACACACTCTCCTCTCCCGCAGCCGGCTCAATAAACCGCTGTACATACAGCACATCGAACAGCAACTGCTTAAGTCTGTAGACGTTGATCTCCTTCACATCCTCCTTCTGGTCACCAGACACCTCTGCATCCGTCTTTTCCTCTCCTTCTTCGTCCTTTGATTCTTCTTCCTTCTTTTCATCTTCAGCAACCCCCTGGCCAAGTGCAACAATAGCATCAACCTGCCCCTCCACCACACCCACCAACATCCCCGCCACCCTCCCCTTCATCACGCTGACACTCCCGGGAGCCCAAAGATCACTCCCCACACCCGTCATCTTAGCGTTCAAATCGCGTAGAAAGCGGAATGCGCTGGGCGACGGCTGGGTAGGCAGTGGCGGTTGGCCCTCCCACAAGATATGACTATTCGATTTGACTTTGAGGGACTTTGCTAGCGAACTCTTGTATGCTTCCAGCGTTGGCTGTGCGACGTACGATGCTAGAGCTTCGTGGAGGGGTTCGAGGATGTCCGGGGTAAATGGGGAGGTGGGGGGTGTGGCTTTATCTTGAAGTCGAAGTCTGGGTATGCGATCCCCTATTTCCCGGATGACGCGCAGGATGAAGGTTGCTTTTTGGATGGAATCGCATCCAGCCTTTTCGTCAGAGGCTTTGGTGATGGTAGAGAGGCTTTTGCCTAGATTCTGCAGCGCTTCACGCAAGGCTTCTTGTGTGCATTCTTCTAGCAACTTGGGGTCGTCGTCGCTTAGAAGCGTTTGTTTCGAGTCACCTAGGTCCGAGTCGGAGTCTGAGCCTGCGTCGTCGGCAAAGGTGTCGTCCCAGCGGGCTTCCTTCATGCTTTTGACTATGCCTTTGACTTCGAGGACTGAGGCCATCCAGTTGTCAAAGGCGGATGTGACGCTAATGACTGGGTCGTCTCGTCCTTGGTATGTGTTTAGGACTGTGGACTTGAATGATTGAGCTCCATTGGTGAGGTCCGAGGCTTTGTCTATTGTGTCCCAGAGACTGAGTGCCGAGGTTGCTTCGGATGCACCAACTGTATCCAGTTGAGCCGTGAGTTCAGAAACGACAGTCTGCAGTCCGTTTGTTCGTGATCGGACAATGCTTTCAAGCTTGTCATTCATCATGTCGCGCAAGTCGTCGAGTACGTTTGCTGACTTGACGCCCGCCATTCGAGATCCAGAAAGAATCCATGTTTCAATCAGTTCCTGTCGCAAGTCTGCAACCTCTTGCAATCGCTCTTCGCCCTCTAGTGCCTTCTTAACGCCCTTTAGGAAAGCCGCAATGGCATCCCTGGACCAACGATGTAGTATCTGCTCTGCTTCTGGCCGCTGCAACTCATCATGCCGTGGCCAGGGCGTGTAGTTCCGCGCTTCGTCGCCAAGCCACTGGTCGTGCACGTCTAGATTCAACTCATATAGACCGCGAACATCAGGGTCCTGGATCAAGGGATGTGCTTTCAGCTTTGCCAGTGCTTCTGCCAACCTCCGTGGGAATATCGTCTGGGTGTCGAGACACGTCTGAATGCATAGCTTGAGCGCATCAATGCCATGCTTCGCAAGCTCATCTCCACCAGCCTTGATCTCGCTATTCATCCTATCCAATCTCATCTTGTGGAAATGATGTAGGGTATCGGTCGGCGTTGAACTCGTAGCAAGCGCATAGGCGCACATACTCTCCACCAGAGTTGCTGTTTCACCGCTTGCACTCGACAGTCGCTTATCGATTCGTCGCAACAACTTTCTCCGTACAGATAACAGCCTCTCCCACAGCTGATCCACACTCGCTGGTTTCGTCGCAGACTGACTAAGAGCCTTGTGAAGTAGCCGCGAAATGACCAGGACTTTGGCAATGAGCAGATATGACCCTTCTCTTTTCATGAGGCGTGTCATCACCAGAGGCGCATTGCGCAGGACCGAGAGTTGGGACGCAAGCGTGTACCGCTCCGCATCTGTCCTCTGTCAACCCAATGGTCCCTTTCAATGCAATACAAAAGACTGACCACGACTCCGAATGTGAATATCCATTTTCCCCGCATTATCTGATATCTTCTCCAAGCGCCTCGAGTTGCAACTCTGCCCTACTTTCGCAAGCTTGGTTTCCACTTGACCCATTCTTACTTCCATGTCGATGATCGTTTCGGCAGTATCGAGGAGGCTGCGGTAACTTGCTCTGCGTACAGTCAGAATTGCTTGCTCCCCGTTGCTTTTTCCTTGTATTTAAATATCCGTACCCCACGAGCGACCGCAGCTTCTCACGATTCTCGTCGGCATTGTTGCGAAGCTGCTGTTCAAGCTTGCGAACCACTGGAATTGGATACTGGAACGCGTCTTCCCAGGTTTGAAAACTCCGTGGATCTGGCGCATCCGTCGCCATTGTTGCTACTTCTCGGAACGCGTGTGTTAGGTGCGATGTGCTGCCCAAGATTACACAGCGAATGCTACGTTCCCACTACTCGTGCTTAGTCATCACGCTCCAAGTAATAGTCCCCATTTAAAGGTGTTCATAAAAGGGCAATAGTAGTCGTAAAACCATATTTGATGGGTATTTAAATATCTCTAATATGATGATGTATTGGTGTTGAAACCAGAAAGGTCTATCTCTAGTATAAAAGATGGTATCAAAGGTTAAGCTCAGCGACTCCCGCACCATCCCAACTCCCGTAAAACATTCACTCCACCTCTGTGGTATCATTGCCTGAATCTTCGCCGGTCCTCCTCCTTAGTTCACGCTCCACAGCTCGCAACATGATTTGAGCGTCGTCCAGCGTCAGCTCTTCTCCTCCCCTCATGCTTGCAAGCAATTCCGCAAATTCAGGGTCATCAGGTTCGATAATCTCAACCCTCCTACCCTTGGTCCTCGACTTTGGCGGTGGGAGAGGCATAAATGCCCTGCTAGTGCTTCCAAACTTGGCAATCATCTCTTCGTATTCGCCCTGTGGTGTGCTCTGGCTCGTAATCGCCCCTCCAGCACCGAGACGCCAGACGTCTTCTTTGTTGTCGGTCTGGAGGTCATCGTTGTCGATTTTGACAGCAGTGCGTATGACTACACTAAAGTCGCCACCGCCTCCAACGTCAAGATAGCCGAGAACACCAGAGTACAGGCCTCTTCTTTCGCCCTTTTCCACGTCTTGAAGAATCTCACATGATCGTTTCTTGGGAGCACCAGTCATACTTCCTGCAGGAAGACTTTCAACAAAGGCTTCGAAGCCTAGATAGGGTACGGAATGCTTGGCAGGCTTCTTGGAGGCAAAGTCCACAGGTTCTTCCCAATCGTCGGGTGTAGTTGGTTTGTTGGAGCCACTAGGTACTGCGTCAACTACAGAGACTAGCTGCCACAGTGTTTCGTATTCTTCGACTTCCATGAGTTGACTCACGCGGACATTCTCTGAGCCGTATACGCCGTGCAATTGGTGTCGAGTGAGATCCACAATCATGAGGTTTTCTGCCCGTTCTTTGGATGAAGAAAGAATCTCGTGGGCCATTTCAGCAGTCACGCCAGGTTTCTTTTGTACCGTGCCTTTGATGGGCCGACATTGGGCAGTTTGTGACCTGTCCCAACTGATGTATCTTTCCGGTGATGAGCTCAAGACGTGGACATTGTGTATCCTCATGTATGCGCTAAACGGAGCGGGATTCTGGCTGGCTAGGCGCTTGTACATGTTCCAAGAATGTTCGTTATCCTCGGAACGCGAAATTCTGCAGGCAGTCGGTTTACGAGCATGAATCTCGTTGCGTGTAGTAAGGCAGAGTTCGTAGCTCTGGCCATCTGCTATGGCTTCTTGACAAATACGGACTTTTTCCGAGTATTCACCCTCGCCGGCTTTGTATTGTCGGCACGATTCAATGTACTGGTCCATTGTACCGTGTGTTTCGAACGGGTCCACTTCTGCCATAGCACTAGACCCTGGCGTGCTTTCCCGAGATTTCACACCAGCATGGTCGTACAGCCTTTCTATCGTCTCTTCAACCCAGTCTTGATCAAAGGCGCCACGGATGCTCTGGACATAAATCTTCTTGACTTGGTGATCGAAAACTATGCTTCGGGTAATGTATGCAAAGCAAATGTCCGGATAAGCGGCTTCATCATGCCCGTGGACACCGATAGTCTCCAGACCGGCCTCGTACGATGCAAAGCCCATTAGACCTCCCCAGAAAGGAGCCCACGTCGAACCTTGTGGTGGTGTGGATGGCTGGAGACTCTTCATGACTTCTCGTACATATGGCCATGGGTCATTCACGGTCCATTCAGTATGCACTTGATCCCTGCCATCCCTGAGCTCCATTCTGCGGGATCCAGCGTAGTAGTGCAAGCGGAGGGTCTCTTCAGGAATAACAAACCCGATAATGCTATATCTGCCAGTACCTACGGCCATGGGTACCAAGTTCGACTGCAATCCGGATTCAAGAACTAGAGCTTCTCCTCGTGTCAACTCGAAAAGTTCGCAGACATCGGCAACTGTAAGCCTCCCGCTTCCGGTAGTTGCACAGTGTACAGTGCTGGGGGCCAGGTCTGGTATTGTTTGCCCGTCGCCGTGTGCAATCAGCGATGCTAGTTCAAAGGGTGTAATGGTATCGCTGTCGGGATTTGCCGCAAAATTAGCAGATGAGTATTTGCTCTGTTTCATGGCACCGTGGAAACCAAGTTCTCGTCGGAAATCCGCAAAGGTCATTGGGGAAGATGGCGTATTTGGCATGAGAGTGTTTTTGGGAACATTGCGAAACATGCGCTTGCGGTTCCAAGCCTGGGCATCTTCCCACCAGTTCTGGAAGAGGCGTTTTCCTTCGTCGTTTGTGCAAATTGACTCTGGATGGAACTGAACGCCCCAGAATGGCTTTTGTATATGCTTGACACCCATGAGCACAGCACCATTGCGCTCGCTATCGAAATCCCATGCCAGCGGTTCGAGGTCGGGGCAAGTTTCCGTGGGTTCCCAGAGCTGGGCGGGGTATCGTACAGCTCGTTTACTTTGGATAGGGTGGTTGAGCTTGACATGAAGGGAGTGGTACTGTGTGGCCAATAGACGCTCTACGCCTCGAAATATGAACTGGCCTTTGTGCAGGACAGTGGTTATGATGCCATGCTTCGGCTCCTCAAGTCGTTCAATGTCGGCTCCAAAGGCAAGGCATAGGGACTGGAAGCCCAGACAGATGCCAAAAACAGGAACAAGCTGCTCTTCTTGAAGACTCCAGAGCTCTTTCATCAGACCAACGTCCCTTTCGCATTTGGCCCAGCCGGGCCCGGGTCCAGCAATCACACCATCGAAGCTCTTGAGGTAATCCGTAAAGGCTGAGTGCTGCCCATCATCTTTTACCTTTGTAAGATTCGGATCGTCAATAAAGACCTTGACGACTTGCGCGTCGATGTTTTGTTCGACTATCGCGACAATGTTGTTTGAAAACGAATCGTAGGCGTCCAGAAATAAGATTCTCGGGCGTTGAGTCAGAATGGCAGGCGCCATGGCTCTGTACCACGTGTACAGGCAGAACACCACGGGACTTCCGAGTGTGACGTGTCTTCCTGATGACTTCCCAGATATTCCTGATGTCCGGATGCTGAGTTCTACTGTTGCTCGTTGTTTTGTCGTCTGTTTTCAAAAACTCCGACAACTGTCGATAGGGCTGTAGTCGCTAATCCGTGATAACTCCGGAGAATGACCGAAGTAGGGCCAAATGATGCCGAAAGGCCCGCCTTTGGAGGCCAGACGCCGAGGAGCTTGTTGGACTAGTTGAGCTCTACACTGTAGGCTGAAAGTTGAGAACAGGAAGAGAGAGAGAGAAGAAGGAGTCGGTGAATGATAGTGACCCAACGGAACGCCACCAGGTGTGGGTGGAAGATATGCAGGGTCTTTGGCTGCAAAGGGTTAGAGGCTGAGGCATGTGTCGGAAAGGTACGCTTTTCCCTGAAGGGGAAGGTAGCGCATGCCGATTTGCTGTTCCACAGTTACACCCGCACCTGAAACTAGACTGTTGCCACCCTCGAGAAAGTCGGAGATTGGTCGCACGACTAGTGTCGTGCAGGATCTGCCATGTGTATAGGATGTGTTTTATAGACGACGTTGATGGCTGTTTACACGTAGTTTGTGGTGCTTCTTCATTTTTGGTGGGCTGTCGGAAACCGCGTCCTCTCGAGATACGTACCTGGGTGGGTAACACGCTTGGACCATATCAACACAAAGTTTGTAGCAGTGCCCAACACCTTAACCCGACTGCACCAGGTCAGCGCAATCCCTACATAAGCAATGTCCTGGTTGAAGCGACGAGCAGGCCCACTGATTGTGCTCGGGTCTTCAGCGCTTGGCGGGGCAGCATATCGTCTCGCCAAACCCGCAGATGCGTCCGATGCGACCTTGAACCCTCACACCTTCACGCCATATACACTTGTAAGCAAGGAGCCCGTCTCGTCGACCAGCGCCATCTTCACACTGCGCAATAGCAATGGCGTCTCAGATGCGGAAAGCCTCAAGGAGGTATCGAAACGCAGCGTTTGGAGCGTGCAGATCAAGCAACCGCAATTACAGATTGCCCGCGCATACACCCCATTGCCTCGCACGACCGATAGCACCAAGACGGGCGACGATGACCTGGGAGGTATGAGGTTGCTTATACGCCAGGAGACGGGCGGCGAGGTCTCAACCTACCTGCACCGTCTCCCAGAGCAATCGACCATCGAATTGCGAGGACCCAACACCGAACTCAAGCTCCCCCGCGACATCATAGAGGTTGTATTTCTAGCAGGTGGAACAGGCATAGCGCCCGCGATGCAAGTCGCTCAGGCATTGGGACGGCGGACAGGCAGCAAAATGCACATATTGTGGGCAAACCGGAAGCGCGAAGAATGCGTAGGCGGTGTCAGTGATGACAGCGGACAAGATCAAGGCGGTCAGGATCGAATAGGATGGTGGAAGAGTCTGTTCGGCTTTCATGTGCAGGCACCGCTCGTAGAACCACCGAGTGCCACGGAGAAGGGTGCCATTGTGACCGAGTTGGACGCGCTCAAGAAGCGGAGTGAAGCCGCCACAAAAGGCTTGACTGTCAACTACTACGTCGACGAGGAAAAGACGTTTATCCAGCCCGGCGAGATAGAACAAAAGATAAGGCGTCGCAGAGAGGAAGCCGGGTCCCGACTGATCATTGTTTCAGGCCCGGACGGTTTCATCGAATACTGGGCCGGTAGGAAGCTGTGGGCTAATGGCACCGAAGTTCAAGGTCCATTGGGAGGCCAGTTGAGCCGCATGGACCTAGGTGAGTGGAAAGTGGTCAAGTTATAAAAAGCTACGCAAGTCCGTAACGAGAAATGTTCTTGTTCCGCCATGTTCGCAGATGACTATGCTCGTAGACGGAACGCCATGATGAGTGTGTGTTTGGCCGTCCAATATGGAATATATCCCAACTGTCGACTTGTGCACGCTATATTCGGCGCACACATAGTATCGGCTACTTGTTTACCTAGGCTGTCCCACTTACTAACCAGGTGTGCTCGGGCGGTCGTTGTGGTTCCCGGCCGGGGAGGCTAGTAATGTGTCGTGCTTGTGTAACTAGCTACACGAGCGTTAGGAATGATTCCGCGTGCTGAATAATTCCACCGCCGGCTGCGACTTCCTCAATTTTCAATCACAACCAGACTTGTCTGCGACATGACCTCTAGTTCGCATTTTCTAGTCATGTGTCTCGGTGCTTTTTAATATCCTCTCTTCTGCTGCGTTATTGCTGGTTTTTCTTTCTTTCTCTCTTTAACTTTCACATTACACGCCACACCTGCGACATGGGTACAGATGTTGATGCCGAACTCGGCACTGTGCACTCTCAGCCAATCAGCGAAAAGGATCCAAATGCCCGACCAGAGTGCTTCAAATCGCTGTTACAAGAATGTCTGTTTATTGCATCGGTGACCATGGCTGTCGCCATGACGAGCTTCCTGCAGGGTGCCGTCACCGTTATGAGTTCGTTCGCGGCACGAGATCTGGGTATGACCAATGCGGAGCTTTCCTGGATGAATGCCGCCACATCGTGAGAATGACCCGATATCGAATTCAAGGTTGCATGACTGACAAGATATGCAGACTCACGGCTGGTTCACTACTGCTCTTCTTCGGCAGTATAGCTGATCTTTTCGGACGCAAATCCATGTTTATCGCGTCCATGTTCTTCTTCTCCGTCTTTTGCCTGGGAGCCGGCTTCTCCCAAACCGGCATGACGCTCGATGTTCTTTGCGGTGTCCTAGGCATCTTCTCTGCCGCGGCTGTGCCTCCTGCTCAGGGAATGCTGGGTGTCATCTATGCGAAGCCTAGCCAAAGGAAGAACAGGGCTTTTGGCTGCTTCAGTGCAGGCAATCCCATGGGCTTCATTTTCGGGACGATCCTCGCTGGCCTCTTTACCCAGGTGTTCAACTGGAGAGCTAGCTTCTTTCTATTGGCTATTGTGTATCTTTGTATAAGTATTATTGCCGCGTTTACAGTACCCAAGGATACGACACCAAAGCAGACGCTCAACGCACAGACGATGAAGAAGCTGGACCTTCCAGGAACAGCGCTTACAATTTTTGGCATCGGCATGTTTTGTGCTGCACTGAGGTATGGTTGGATGTCGAGGTCAGTGAGACTGCAAGCTGACATTCATCATAGTCTTGGCGGAAATGCGTCACAGGGTTGGAAGACACCCTACGTCCTCGTTCTGTTGATACTTGGAGCCATTTTGATGATTTCATTTGTTGTATGGGAGTTCAAGTACCCATATGCGATGATTGATATGAAGATCTGGCGCGATCGAGACTTTTCTTTGGTAAGTCGGTCCATGTGTCGTGGAATTTCTGTGTCGAAATTCAAGTGCGAAGCTTCACAACATTGCCTGCCACAACCTGCTATGATCTTGGTACTAACTATATGCAACAGTTGATGGGCATCCTCGCTCTCGCCACTCTTGGATTCCCAGTCTTGAGTTTCTGGATGGCACTCTATTTCGAGCGGGTGCAAGGATACAGTGCCCTCATGACTGGCGTTCACATGCTTCCTATGGCTATTGTAGGTCTGACTGCAAACGCAGTGGCCGCCCTGATCCAGCACAAAGTATCCAACAAAATTCTTGTTGGTATTGGATCGACTGCTCTCACCCTTTCTTTTACACTAGCAGCCCTCCAGAGAGACGGAGATTCGTACTGGGCATTTGCTTTCCCAGCGCTCTGCTTGTGTGTTGTTGGCATTGATTTTGAGTTTATTGTTGCAAATGTAAGTTTTATCCCTATGCTTCTCCAACTATCCAATAACTCTGGCTAAACCATTCGTAGATGTATGTTTTGTCATCGATGCCACTTGACAAGCAATCCATTGCAGGTTCGCTGTTCCAGACGATATCCCGTCTATGCAGCGCTGTCGCTTATGGAATCGTGACGGCAATTTTCGATCATGTACAGAAAAATCCAGCAAAATCAGGTTACTACGCCAACAACGCTGCGGAACCTTACTCTTCTGCCTTTTGGTTCGCAGCTGCAGCCGCGTTTCCTAGCATGCTACTCTTTCCCTTTTTGAGGATCGGAACGCAGGGTCACACAGGCGATACTAGAAGAGGGAAGCAGACTGACAAGCGGGAGGATGAGTCGGAAGGCGAACGGGGTGGGGACATTGAGCATGCCGTGATAACCAATGCAACGCCAGGCGGGAAGGGTGTGCATGATCAAGACACAGAAAAAGTCAGATCACAGTAGATGATCCGAATTAAAAGTTTCATTCACGATGCATAGTTCCCGGACATGAAAACCATCAAAAGTCCATCCAAGTCCAATCATTCAAAACAACCAATTTTTCCCATCTTCCTAACCAGCCTCACCTCTGCTTTCCACTGGAACATTCCCTTCTCCATTCCATCCACCAAAACCCAACCAAAACCCAACTACCAACTAAACAAAACATCGCTTCAAAAAAAGCTCCAACCACCTCGTATCCAGCATACCCGCTTCCCCCCTTCCCGCGGCACTTTCCTTCCCCCCCCCTCTCCGCCCCAAAACTAAACCCGCGAACCTAGTGCAAAACCCAGACCACACTTTAAAAATCCTACCGGCTTACTTTTTGCGGGCGTGCGCGCGCTTAGATCCCGCATTTTTGCCCGCCAAAACCTAGATGGTTCGTTCCTGCGTTTGCGGTTTCCCCTGGTGTGGGTGTGCCGCAAGAACCCCCCAGTCCCCCCCCCCCCACTTAAAGTTTGCCCGAGGGGACGCCACAGGGTGTGGACGGGAGCCGGGGGAGGGTTGGATGGTGGGATTGAGAGGTAGGGGGGGGATGATGACGACGTGGTAGGGGGTCTTGGTATTCTATTTGTAATAATATACGTGTGTATTTGTGATTTGGGATTTGATGGTGAGAGAGATATCGAAAAGCAAGAGGTTGAATAAGAATCTCCTTTGGATGTGTACATTTCGTTGATACCTTAATAATACAAAAATATAGGGTTAGGCTGAAATATGATATGCGTTTACTTTTTTTTTTTAAAGAAAAGGCGAAATGAAGAAAAAGAAAAAAGGGATGGTAAAACCGCCCCACCCTTTTTTATCTTGAATGCGCCGAGTCAGAAAGATGTGAAGATACCGCCCGTCCGTCCCGTCCGTTCAAGTCCTTTCTTCCGTTGCCAAAGAAAAAGTGCATGTGTGTGTATGTCGTGTTACGAAGTATCCATACTCTGCACCCCGTCATCTTCCACCTCTTGCTGTGCTCCCATTTTCAACCTCTCCACCTCAGCCCTCAACATCTCAATCTCCCTCTCTTGCGCTCGCATCTTCTCGAGCGCCATTTCGATCAACCGTGCTTTATTCACCGTCTTCTTTTCTCCCGCTGCAACACTCGACCGCCTACTCTTATCCTCCCCGTCTTCCTTGTCCTCTGCTATACTTCCATTCCCACCACCGTTACCATTGGTACTCGCACAATCGTCCTCCCGCCCCCTCATGACAACAAAACACGTCGTCCCGCTCCCAAACGTGACCTCGCCGTCTAACAAAAACTCGGCAAGATCAACCATGGCGTTCTTCATGCGGTCGCGCCGGGCTTGCTCGGCGGCACGGTGCGTGGCGCGCTTCATCATGACGCCCGAGGCCATTGCGGTACTGAAATGAAGGCCCATTTCGAGGTGCTGGCCTGAAGAGATGAGTTCGTAGTTTGATTTTGAGGCGAGGAGGTCGGCTTGGGGGGTTATTACGCCGCCGGCGCCTAGTTGCGTATGTGAGAAAACGAACATATTAGATAGATAGATAGAAGGAGGAATTGAGCGGGGAACAAAAAAAACATACCATTTCGATCGGCAGAGGATATACTGCTGCCTCGCCGTGCTATGGGGACTTTGTTGGGTGGTGGGATGGAGGAGGCGTGGGATATTGAAGATATGGTACTTGCGGTGTCTGCTGTTATGGAGGGGGAGCGCATTGAGGAGACAGTAGGCGAAGTAATGGATTGAGAGGCTATTGAGGGAGTTTTGATGGGTCGTACGGGGTGTATGGGTATCTGAACTTGTGGTTGGATCTGTTGTTGGATTGGCTGTGGTTGCGCCTGTGGTTGGATATTATTTGGTGGGACATGTTGCTGTTGCTGTTGCTGCTGTTGCTGGGCGCTCTCTCGAACTGGACTGTATCTCCTCCTCTTTTTGAAAATCTGTGGCCATGTCCTGCTCAGCGGGCCGCGATGATGACTACTCTCGTTCCGGTCGGCGACCAGCGGTCCGTTTGGGTGTGGATAGGGCTGCATGACTGGATTTCCGATTCTGGGGGCGGAAAGAACCAGGAATTGAGAGAAGAGAACTTGGCGGGGTTTAGTGGATTTGCTACAGATATTCGTTGTTTGCAATAAAGTTGATATGATGTCAAATTCCGCCGTATAGGGTCCGGTCACGCACACGGGCCCGATGTGTCAGATTTGGCGTGGAGCTGGTGCTAGCAGGATATCACTAGGGGGAAGTGTGATGGTAGGGGAGAACGAGCGTGGGTAGCAAGCAGAGCAAAGTCAAGGGCAGAGCAGAAAACACGGGGAGAGGCGAGGGGAGTGGGGGAGAGGGAGAGGGCGTGATTAGTTGAAGTTGGGCATGTACGGCAGCGGTGCAGGCGGGTAAGAGTGAGATTATGCGTGCGAAGCGGACCGGCTTTGGCCTCATCCATGGGGCGAGGAGGCGTAGTTGAAGGCGGGATCTGGAACGAGTTCCGCACCCATGCTTGCGCGTGCCCTCCGTTAAAAAGCAACGGGCGTATGCAGTGAGCATCTCAGCGAGTGAAGCTTTGGCTTGGCGGAGGACCAGAGAGGCACATGCACGCCAACCAACCACACGACGCCGCGAGAGCACATGGCCGCCAAGTCGACGACACATGGCGGAGAGGCCCCCTGCTGCAAGCCCAGCGCGCCGAGTGCTTAGCTGCCACGACTATCGTCCTTGGAGTGACATTTGCCCTCTCTGCTGCCATCCCCATTCACCCTCCGCTGCCATGGGCCTAGCCGCATGCTTCCGTGCTGGGACTTTGCGGGGTTACCTTCTTCATTCGGGGCGACCCTCTGGCTCCACCCCGAGCCCCCATATCACCAAGCCATCAATCGGCGCTCAGCACCATCGCACGTGTGCTCCCCCCATGCTGACCTGCTGGTGGAGACTCTTATCTACCGTCTTTTCAATGAAACCAGCTGCTGCTTTTTATATCCTACTATCGCTCAAGTCGCCACAAAACAATTCGGTTTCAATATTCGCTGCAAAATACGCCAAATGATGCCATCCTACTTCTATGTCGAGCTGTTCATCCTGCTAACCAATTCGTGGCTGTCGTGCCTCTCCTTCCTGTTACCCCGAGCGCCAGGGATATACTCCAGATCCTCCTCGCCGTCGTCCTCGTCGTCCTCGTCGTCCATATCCATGTCCAGAACCTCCTCGCTGAGCATCTTGGGATTCAAAGAAAACGCTCCCTTGGGAACAAAGGTGCTCACCATAACCAACACCGATATAATGGTAAACTGCACGCCCGCCACGTTCAAGATGGCCCCGTGAATCTCGTCGTTGTCTCGGTCCGAGATGCGGTCGATGTATGTTCCCAGGCACGCAGATGCAATGGCGTACATGACAATGTACGTGCTGTAGAGAAATGCCATGACGGCCCCCAGTGCCGATACGTTCTGCGACTTGGACTCGATTCGAGCAAGCGACGCCTGGATATATGCCGCCAGAGACACATCACCCGCAGCCCATCCGAAGCTGATGGGCAGAAAGGTCGCTGCCACAATCCACGCCTGTGCCACGTCGTTGCGCGGAGGACGCCAGTAGGGCAGATACCACACAATCAGCAGACCAAGTGCGTCTAGTCGCAGCCATGGTATCGGCGTCTGCACCAAGTTTGTGAACATGAAGACAAACAGCGCCCCCAGTAGTTCACCAAAGTTCGATCCTCCCACCATGATTTGTGACCAGGCCGAGTTCCCAAAGTACCGCCGCGCAACTGCAGGCGCAATGGCATTCTCCAGGTATCGGTGCGCGTAAAGTGCAATTGCATATCCAGGCAGCAGCCAGATAAATTTGCGATGTGTGAAGATGAGTTTGGCACCGGTTCCCACAGACTCGAAAAAGAGGTAGAAGCCACTAATCACTGCCTTGACATAGTTGGGCTCGCCCTCGGTCACCGAAGCTCGGACTTCCCTTGGTATGCTTTCCTCGTGGATAAAGTACCAGAGAATCGATGCAGCAGCGAAAAAGATGGGCGTGATGACGAAGCTAAAGTTGTTGCCGAGGCGGGGGATGAGGGCAAGAGCTGTGCAAAAAGCACCTGCTGTTCCACTCGTCTCGTAGAAGATGTGCACCAACGAGTCCATCCGGCGGAGCTTCTGAATGTTGCCACCCACGAGATCCCGAGGTATAACGCGTCGGATCAGTTCAACCATACCGTAGACTATGCCACAGACGCAATCTAACACTCATCAGCACATGTTGCGCAGTACCTCGGATAGGGCCATTCTTACAGATGGGTATCATCGCGTCCGTATCGTAGTCGCCGTAGTAGCTGAAGTCATCTTTGGGCCATCCGCGCGGCATGAATTTACCACCAGTTGCGGCATCGAGTATCAGTAAGAGACTGCTCATGAACCCAAACACGAGCACTGCGCAAGCTAGCACGTTCTTGGTCGGATACCGCTTGATCAGAGGTGCAATCAGGATGGACCCTATGCACTGAAATGCCTGGTTCAGGCCTGTCAATACACCCACGCGTTGAAATGTGATGGAAACGTGCGTCGTCTTCTCTAGTTCGTCGTATCGATTCGTGGCGAGTGCGATGATTGATCCGTTGAATGCCTCGAGCCCAAACTTGTACATCATAATGCCGGCAATGTAAATGGCAATGTTCCGGCGCTCTAGAGGCGTGTAAATATTCCATGTTTCTCGGAGGACAGCAATGGGTCGGACCATGTCGACGATCAAAGCACACAAGCGTGCGGCAGCAGTGCTACAGAGAGCAAAAGCGAATCCGCAAATGCGGAGAGACCTTGTTTATACGTCCAGAATGCCGGAACGCTGGTGTTGACGAAAACAGCCAATGAAATCAAGGGAAGCCTGCATGTGGAGTTACCGGTTCGCTACAGGCATGCGTGAGTAGTTACGGATCACAACAGCCGAATCTGTGGCGAGGAGGCATCTCAAGAACCCACGAATTCACGCTCTTGGGAGACGGCGGAGCGCTGCTCTTCAAGGCCAAGTGGTACCATGGCAGCGCCCTAGTCCGAATGAGGCTCGGCATTCTCGTTAGATACTGACCAGTCAGACCCCCCACGTGGCTGACATGCCATGTCTGGGCAGACCAGGGCATTCGCCTCAGCCGTAAGAATAGTCGCAACAGTCTTAATGCACGCGAGCAAAAACTCCTTCATAACTTCTTGTCGTCCCAAGGGGCTGGATACAATAATCTGGGCTGCATTGTCAACTCTTCATTGACAAGAAAAATTGCACGTGGTGCAAAGTGCTGATGAATTGAGGCATTCAATGCCGAGTTCAAGGTTGACATAATTTGCCCTTTTCTATTCAAACCGTGGAATCATAACAACTAGTAGCTTGGGCCAGACCTTGGGACTCGCCAAGTCAGCCCTTTGAATTAATCCTTGGGCTTTACGCGACATTGTGGCAGTGCATCACCAGTGCCAGACGGGAACAGTCGGAGTGAATTGGCGTGGTCTCGAATGTTCCTGCATTAGGCTTGTGGATCCCTTCGACCCTTGACCGTCGACTAGATTGTAAGACGACATGCTTTTCCTGATTCAGATTGTGACGGATGGAATTGTGGCTGCATGAGACACCGCATGTAGCAGATGGAGCTACAGAGATGCTCGACATTCAGACTGTGCAGATGATAAGCGAACAAAGTAGAGATGCTGTGACCCCATTGACAGCCTCCTGTCTTCAATCAGCCGAACAACCAGACTGTGAACTAGTTGATAGGCTGGCCCACTAGTGGCTAGAGCCTTTACATGAAAGTTGGATACTGCATCCTTAAGGATCCGGCTGGGCTTCGTATAAAAGTATGTAGTAGTATATGGATGCAGATAGGTAGCGCGTCGTGGCTGTCCCAGGGTATCAGCGCGCTCTTGAGCGCATAGTGAGTGCAAGGTAGGGCACTATTCCGAATCATCTTCCTTGTATCGCCTGGCCTCCTTAGCCTTTTCAAGTTTCTCCTCATCTTCAGCTTCTCGCTTGGCAAGGCTTTCGCGCATTCTTTCTTCCTGCTTCCTCCAGTGACTGCCCTCCTCGTAGTCTTCGCTGATGCCCAGTGCCTTGCGCAGCCTCTCGCTCTCTTCCATCTTCGCCTTGGCCAGGTCGTGGACCTGATGCGATTTGAGTCGCTTTGCATTCGGTCCCAAGTCTCTGCCGTCCTTACGCTCCTGATCTAGTTTGCGGCGCAACGCTTCGCACTGGTCATCGATTTCGTCCTCGTCAACACCCTCGTCTTCGAGCTTGTCTCGCAGCTCGAGAACCTTGACTTCGATTTCGCGCTTCGCTTCGTGCTCAAGGATCTCGGCGTCTGGCTGCCTTGGGCGGTGTTTGGCTTGGTCCCAGTCTTTTGGGTAGGGCTGAATCTTGTCGCGTGGTCTGAGGAGCGATCGGTTTTTCTGTACGTAACCCGAGGTACCGCTACCTCTTGGGGTGGTGAGGCCTACATTGTCGGCCATGGTCTGAAATTTGATGATTTGCAAGGTGAAGGTATTGTGTCGGTCAGAATGATGGCCAAGGACAGCCACTGGTTTGCGGCGAGCTCGGAGGTGAGGAAAGGCCCGAGCTTGCCTAGTGACGGAATGGCAGTTGCCCCACCAAAACTTTCCCTTGACTATGAAGACTCACTTAGCAATGGAGTCATTACTCTGTCTGGCACCCGTTTGCCATTATTCTAGACCCTACTTCGCCCCTACACTTGATTCAACATGAGCACACAAGATACAACCAGCGACAATGTCCCTGCTGGACCTGTGGAGATGGGATATACCGAGTTGCCCTTCCCCCCAGTCACCAAACAGCACATCTTGAACTGCTCGTACCATAGTTGGCACCCAAAGTCAGTTATATCCCATAATCTAGCACGTTCTTTGTTCTAATTTCAATAGATATCGTGCCGTAACGCCCAAAGCACGCCTCATCCCCCTTCCATCCGCATTTCTCGAATACCTCCGCTCAGACGGCATCGTCCTGCCTCCCGAAGAGAGCGACGACCCCTCGTGGTCAGACAACGACAGTGGCATCTTCTCAGGCGCTGACAACAACGACGATGATGCTGAGGAGAGCATAGACCCTAGCGCAGAGTGGCGCGACACCCACGAGGCAATCGAGCGCACCATCGAGGAGCTGGGCGGCAAAGTCGCTCCCAAGCTCAACTGGAGTGCGCCAAAGGACGCAACATGGATAGCAGCAACCAACAGCATGGAGTGCCGGACACCCAACGACATCTACCTGCTCCTCAAAAGTAGTGATTTTGTCACCCACGATCTTGCACATGCTTTTGACGACACAGCCGATCAATCCACAACGCCAGACCCGGCAATTCCATACCATCTCGTGCTGCGAAAGTGGATCACGCTCAACCCCAGCGTTGAATTCCGATGCTTTGTGCGCAACAGACGGCTGATTGCTCTATGCCAGCGGGACCTGAACCACTTTGACTTTCTGTTCAACATGCAGGATAAGCTACGGGACCTGATCCAGGACTTCTTCGACGCTAAACTGCGCGATACTTTCCCAGACCCAAACTTCACTTTTGACGTATACATGCCGCCGCCCCATGACAAGGTTTGGGTCGTCGACTTCAATCCCTGGGCTGTACGGACAGATCCACTGGTCTTTTCGTGGATGGAATTGCTCACCATGGACGTGCCAGAGGCAGCACCAGCCGTGGAGACGACTGTGCGTCTGAAGATAGCCCAGCCAGAAGCCAAGAGCGAATCTGTTCCAGTGGCCAACGACGCAGAGGACGACGAGGACGACGTCTCAGACGACGATGATGTTGAGGAAGTGTGGCAGCCAGAGTTCCGACTGGTACGGAGAGACGATCCAGAGGCCTATGGTTTCACGACTCCGCAGTATAGTGCTCACAAGTTGCCCAAAGATGTAGTCGATGCGAGCAGGGGAGGCGAAGGCCAACTGAGAGAGTTTGCCATGCAATGGGAGCAGGCCCAGAAGTTGGCTGAGCAACAAAGGGCAGAAGATAGCGAAGACGATTAGACTTGTGTGTGTAGTGGGTTGTGTTGCGGCAATGGACACGGCCCACATGTAAACACCACTCGAGCAGAACAACACATGAGCCGACAGATGACTTTTGCTTTTGTCTAACAAAGAGTCATCTTCTCTGACAGCTTGGCGTCAGTAAACACCAGCTGGTAATGCATGATTGGACATTTTGAACATGTGCCTGGGAGGGTGACCCGCCTCGTCGCGTGAGGCTGCCGGCCCGCCACCGTGACTCGCCCGCGCAGGCCACCTGCTTGTTTCACCGCCGGCATCCCCACACGTCCCATTCGACAAGAGTCGATCGTCCCTCCACAAGCCGCATTGCCCAGGACAACGTCGACTTCGATGCCGACTTTTGGGTACACTTTTCATCGCACGTGCTTTAAGATGAATGGTCCTCTGCTTCCGTAGATTTGACACGCTGTTCCCACGGTACACTACGTCTAGCATTGCATAGCTATCGCACCCACCACATCGCTACCATATCCCGCTTGAGCCTTGACATCGTCTACATCACCACTCTTGCTTCCCTTCTCTCCAAACATCTCAATAACACAATACACCATTTACAAATCACGAGGCTACATTGAGCTTCTCTGCGTACACGCCATGGACACGCCAGACAGCACTTACAGTGGCTTCTTAGCCTTGCCTACTGAGATACGATGTCAGATTTACGATTATTTGCTTGCTGAATCATACGCCATTACCATCAGCGCCGCATATACGACGAATTCCCATGGTATTCGGATACAAGATGGCGCTCGCAAGACCGAGATTCCAGGTTTGCCACTTCATCTCGCGCCAATAGCACGACGCGGCCACGTCGCATCCCTCCTCTCCGTCGCGACGCCTCCAAGCATCGCCCTTGAAGATGGACAAATGGACAATATTGCGGACGAGAATCTGGGGCTCTCAGCACCATTGGCACTGTCATTGACTTCTCGTCTGGTCAAGGACGAGTTGAGTGATTGCATGCGGAGGCGAAAGCATATGTTGGATGCGCGAGCTGAGTACGATGACGATGGTGTTCTTCAAGATGACGAAGAGAACGTCGAAGGCATGTCACTCCATGTGTCATACCCATATGGAGTTCTAGTCCTGAAGAACCAGTATCCGTACTTGCTAAAGCAAGCGCGGAGAGTCTACGTTTCTGGCTATTACACGCCTCTTCTCGAAGAAGAGCCAACTGTTTCAGATACTGGCGACGGCGAGCATTTGACACCATCAAGCAGCCTTGCAGCACCTTCTTTCAATACTCCTGTGTCGGGACCTACGGCGAGTTTCACAGCTACACAGAGCAATTCCTCAAGACGGCCTCCCCGCCACGGCGTAAACAGAAGCCCCTCTCGTCCACGCCTCCGCATGGGCGCGCCGCTCCCACGCCAATCGCGCCACGCCACATACATCTACACAGCTTTCCCTGTATTTTCCAAATCTACCGCAACACACGCTCCAGCTGCCCTCGCACACCTCGTATCTACCATAATGCCCAAAACCCTTGGGTCTCTTACAAAATTCACAGCGCATATCCTCTTCCCGGGAGAGAATACGTATAGCTGCGTTTGGGGTGACGACAACAGCCCCGTCACTCACATTCTGCGCAGCATCTGCGGCGGCAAGATTGATATGAAAGTATTGAGGTGTAACTTGGGCACAGGGCTTAAGCTGACGGCAAGACCAAAACCATGGAGTCGCATCGTGAGTACGAGTTGGGTCAATTGGAAGAAGGGAGATAATCTAGCACAAGGCAGCCCCAATACTGCAAGAAGGGCAAGCGGATCATTGAGTGTGGTTGATTTGGACGGTTTTTTGACAGGCATTCCAGATGGTGCGTGACGAGGATTCTATGGCATATGCTAGCCCTTGAGCGAATCCATCAACTCGTTATGTTTATGATTTGTACTATACATTGTAACGTACGCCTATGGCCGTGCTTAACCTGGAAGTTAGTGATCTACTGAGCAATCTACAAGCGACGTTTCCTTTGGCATGGGAGAAGACTGTGCGTTTCATGTTGTATTGTGACGTGTGGATATTTTATTGATAGTGCAGCTTGCAGATGCACAAAACATTTCCAATTGCGAAATGAAATCACCAGGTAAACCACTTGACAGCACCTGGCACCCCCACAACCAAATCTCCTGCATCCGAGAATCCAACTCTTACTTTTCGATCCTCATCGTCAGGATATGTCAGCCAAAAAGAAATGATGCGCAGATGCTCCGGCACCTCTAAATCGCCCACTGCATCGTCACTGGGAATGTTCAGTTCCGCTCTCGTACGTTCCTGCTCAAGCGACAAAGCCTCGTCCGCTATCCAACCAGCGACCATGCCATCCCAGAAGCCTTCTCTTCGAGGGTAGCTCAGCATCATCCCGACAGCACGCCGCCGCAGTGCCTGACAGGAAGCAGGGGCGCGAATGGCTATGAACCACAGTGCCGCCGTTGGCCCCATTGAAGTCATAAAAACCGGTGAAGACCTATCCCCCGGCACAACTAACAGCTGATCACATAAATCAAAGATATTGGCAAACAGAGCCGCCTCGTCAAACGGGGTCGTGAACGGCTCTTTGGCATGCTGGAACGCAGCCAAGCAAGGAAATCTGGCCACGATATCCGCCCGGGGCAGCCTTAGCAAATACTCCATCTGGCACTGCATCAGCTCGAGCGCAATCAGCGGCTGCGTAAACTCGTCGCGACTCTTCTTCTCCGCTTCCCTCCACAACTTCTTCATCACCCTCGCCCCAGCATGAAACCTCTCCACCAGCTCCCCCAACTCCACCCCAACCTGCTCTTCCTCCCCCGCTCCCCTCAAAAAAGTCTTTTGGTTAAAGGCATGGATATGGCTAAGTAGACACTCCATATGCCTCAGCACCCCCAGCAAACTCGCCATACTAAGCTTCTGGCACGCCTCCAACGCTTGACCCCCAGCCTTTACTTTCGGTTTCTTGACCCAGCTCCTCGATTGCGCAGATGGCATAATAGCTCGTATCTGCGCATCCAGCGCTACGAAAATCGTGCGTAGCGATTCCAGCTCCACAGCGTGCTCCGTCACCGCCTCCCCCGCATCATCCATCTCGTTCAGCATGCGAATCCCACTTCGCAAGTGCTCCACGGCGTGTTTCTGATAGCCTTGAAGACAGCACATGCTGCTGAAGAGAATCGCACATGTCATTAAGGTCATTTTATCTTTTCCTGACGTCTTCGAATCACTCGTCCCGCCCTTCCCTAAGAGAACTTTGATAGCCCGGTTGGACTGCAAGAAAGCAAATTGCAAGTGTTGATCCGCCATTGCGCTCTCCTGGATGTGCGAGTGCGAGCCTTCGTGGAAGCGTCGGTACATGGCGCCTAGGGCAATGATGCAGTGCTGGATTGCGGGCTCGCGGTGCGCGGCTTGGAGCACTTCGCGTTGCCAGAAGGGGGAGTCGAGGAAGCCGCGCAGTTTGGGTATCGCGTGGGATGTGAAGAAGGAGAAGCTGAATTTTTCTTCGGTGGTGGAGAGGGGGAGGGCTGGGGCGAGGGGGTGTGGGATTGGGGAGTGGTTACGGAGGGTGCGCTGGGTGGATCCTGAGCAGAATGATGATAATAGATTTTGGGCTTCTGGGGGTGAGGAAGTGTTGGCCTTTGGGGATCGGAAGTTTGAATCGTAGCCGTCGCAGGTGCGGCCTGTGGAGGTGCAGCGGGTACAGTGAGGTTTTTCTTCGTCGCATTTTACACGGCGTATTCTGTGGATCTGTTAGCATGGCCTCATCGGATTCCTAATTCAAATATTGCTCTTGAACATTTCCCGTGCATCTCTGTATCCAGCAGAACGAATTGCTCCTTCAACAGAATATATCGAGCCTTTAGTCATGCAATCGTGCTGCGACCCCCAATGTACTACCAAATCAACCACATCCATCTCTTTCTCCCTCTCCATACAAAATCTCAATAACTTACTTGCACGTCTTACAACCCGACCTCGCCTTAGGCTTCCAAGCCCTCTGTCGCGGCTTTCCCGCCACCAGATCCATACTACTATCTGTTTTCTTCCAACCAGGTGCTGATCGTCGTTCAACCAGAACAACGAAATCGACTCGAAAACGCAGGTCCAAACGTATGTAGCAAAAGAAAAAAGAGGTTTGTGATGAAAGTAATGTATTGCACTACGTACGTCAAACGCTGCTATGAATGTTCGACACGAGGCCAACTTTTTGAGGCTCGCACCTGCATGATGCAGCGTTGCGGCGCAGGGGTGGTTGGGGGGGGGGGCCGTTAGGCATCCACTATAATTGGTTGTTGGACACCGGGGGTTTTATTTTGAGATCTGCCTAATAGAGTGGTCGATGATGCGTGGTCGGACAGGGTATGTGATCCTACCGATGCATTGGACTTAGGGTTGGGTGGGGGGGGTTTGCGAGGGTCGTCCGGCGGCTTGAATGGGAGGTAGTAGTGCGTATGTTAAGGTTTTGGGGGCGAGTTGTTGGTGTGTTACACTTGACTGTTGAAAGTAAGACATTTTTTTTTACAAAGGAATTACGGGTTTGGTGTATGGATGTAAATTAATGTGTAGTACAAGTGGCTGCCTCCACGAGTGGAACGAGAGCGGGGCTAGGAATACTGCGGTGGGACATTCGGCCTCAGCCACAGATCCATCTACCTAGAGCTATCAATCTAAACGCTTGCGCCACTTTCCAACACTCAAAATAGCAACCACATTGCTCATAGCTTGCGCCAAAGATTTCGTAGATATCCCGCTTTGCCCCCTTGCTCGCTGTGCGGCTCGCCATGTACATACACATCTCTCGCATCAAGATCCTTTCTCCTGCCTGAGTCCAAATCAATCTCTTCACTCCTCCAGAACCGTGTCTTGAACCAGATCTTATAGCCGACGTAGATGATTACAAATACTGGTATCATAATGTAAGCGTCGACAAAGTTTCCAGCATTGAACGGGCTTAAGGTGGTCCAGCCCTGAACAAGAGTAAGGAAGATGTTGGCGAAAAGTCCAAAATAGGCATTCCAGGGATAAAGAAAGGACTTGAAGGGTAGATCGTCTGGAGTCCGGCCTTGAGCTTTCCAGGCTTTTCGGAAGCGAATGTGCGTAAAGGAAATGGCGCCCCATACGAGAAAGGTGGAAACGCCGCTCAGGTTGACAATATATGAGTATGCCTTTCCACCGCCCGTACTAACGTTCATCATGGATATGGCTCCGATCAGGTTTGTGAAAACGATGGCGTAGATTGGTACGCCGCGACTGTTTGTCTTTCCAAGGAATTTCGGCGCCATTTTCTGTTGTGCCATGAAAAGTATGGTCCGAGATCCGATATAAATCGAGCTGTTCGCCGCGCTCAGGACGGTAATGAAGATGAAGGCGTTGATAAGATGTACTCCTCCTTCCCAGCCAGCGTTTTGCAGTGCAATAGTCATGGGACTCTTCAATGCACGACTGCTTCCATTCGCGAGTCCATCTGCATTCGAAGGGCAAGTGAGGCCAAAGAAGAATGCCACTCCCATGTAGACAAAAAGAATACGCCAGATGACCTGTCGAATCGCGAGGGGAACAGCCACAGATGGATTCCTGGTTTCAGTTGCTGCAACCGCAACAGCTTCCACACCCGCGTAAAACGTCGAAGCAAAAACAAAGACCGTTGCTACTCCGCGGAATCCATTCACCCAAGGACCAGGGTCGTGCCAGTATCGGAATCCAATCGCCTCTTTCTGCCCAATTAGTCCTCCCGATGCGTAAATGATGGCGAAAAGGAAGTAAGTGCACAGCCCAACAAGTTTGACCAGCGCAAGCCAAAACTCTGCTTCTCCAAACGACTCGACACCCAGCATCTGGAAGCCCAAAAACGCAAACCAGAAGATGAGAAAGTAGCCCCATAGCGGCACCTGCGGGCCCCAGAACACCATAATCGACGAAATGACGTTGTACTCGTTCGCCAGCACGCACGCCCACACCAGCCAGTACTGCCATCCGACCGCAACCCCAAAAGCCTTATCAACAAAGCGCTCAGAAAGCGTGACAAACGCCCCGCCCGTCGGATACAGCGTCGTCATCTCACCCAGCGACTGCGTAATGCTGAACGCGATAATACCAATGATGCCGAATCCGATGAGAAGCGACGCTGGACCACCCTGAGCGAGTGCACCTCCCGTTCCAACCAAGATACCCGGACCGATGATTCCAGCCAGAGCCATCATGCTCAAATGGCGCGTCTTGAGTCCGCGCTTGACGCCGCTTGGATCCATTCGCTGGAAATCACCATCGTCGTTGTTGTAGCTTGCTGCTGGTGAGGCGGGGCCCGCTGCGGCTTTGGAGTCGAAGAGGGCCATGACGTACGAGCCTGGCTGGTCGTTGCGAAGTCGTTTTCTTGATTAAACGAGCAAAAAAAAGCTCAAGAGTGTACATGGTTTACTTTTTCAAAGGAACGCATGGTTATATAAGCGCATTATTTTTCTAGTCTTGGACTTGGCGAGCAAGTTGCCTGGGGGGGCGAATGACAGACGGCTGGGGTCTTGGGTTGCATGTTGCGATTTTCATGGCTGATTGCGCGATAAGAGGGAAGACACTCGTTTTTTTCTGACGGCGGTACTGCAGGGATCGATTGTGGGCTTGTTTACCGCCGATACTGTCGTATCTTGGAATTAATGATTGAGTAAAAAGTATGCGGGGAGGAAAGCAATGCCGGTTTGCTCGTGGAGAATGGCGACTTCTGTTATCGAGCATGGTGGGTATGGGCGATGGATTGGGGTGGTGGGGAGGGCGGGCGGAAACGATAGGTTTGGTTTGAATAGAGTTTAGCGGAAGACAAGTTGCACTACGACTTGGCGCCACTTCTCCATGTGAAGCTTGCAATGTGGATTTTACTATCATTTTGCTGTCATAGGCTGGCTGAAGTCCCGCATTCAGGATTTACACCCTCCGCGGACTCTGTGTCTAGACCTCCTCCAGCTTCAGAGTTTGCAACGACTCGGGCATAAGCACAGCAGACTCCGACCGTCCTGTCGACTTGGATATCACCAGCACACCCTAAGTTTTCAATCGCATGGCCGTCAGCCACATAAAAAAAAGTCTGGAGATACTTCCCTAGTTGCATACGGAATGATTCTCGTGCATATCCTCCTCACATTTACTCCGGTCTTGGCGGGACAAGGGCTAATGAGCTAATTGTTACGTTCCGTGACTGCTACTGCTCCACGTTAGTATACAATGTGTGAGTATAGGAAGTACTCTGTTCACTCTTTCTCGTCACATGATGGAAGCCACAAGAAACACAGAAATATTCATAAAATCGTAACATTTAAAAACTCATTACACTACTATACATATTTTTTCTCATATACTGTCGTTAACACTGATCCAGTCAGTGTCATATAGAAGTCCCAAGCATCAAGCCCGTACTCCAACATTCATCGAACCAAGCGACTTCAGGGCAGGCGGCCAACTTCCATACGCTTCTTGAGCCTGTAGGCAAGAGCACGCTTCTTGGCCGCAGTGCTCTGTGTGAAGGCAACAGAGCCACCAAAGGGACCAGCAGCTGCACCGTTGCGGACACGCATGACGCAGACATTGTTGACACCAGCAACAGTTGCATCGCAAGTCATACCGGCAGGCATCTGGACCTTCATCTCGAACTCGGTGTTGGTGGCCAGCGAGATGCCCTGGACACCTAGACCAGGGACGTCTTGAGTGACAGTGGCAGGCTGCATGGCAGCTTCATCAGTGCCACCAGACGTGCCATCGACATCTGCCGTGAAAGGACCTGCACCATCTTGGTTGATCTAAAGGCTGTTAGAAACCGCATCATCGAACTGAGGCCTAGCAAAACTCACCTGACGAAGCGTCATAGTAACCGTTCCATCATCCGCACAAGTCGGCAGACCCCCCGTCGCTCCCGCTCCAGCAGCAGCAGCAACCCGCGCCTCAGGCGGTCCATTAACCTTATCACCACCACCCCCAAACAACCCCGCAATCCCCGTTGCACCGCCCGCACCTCCAGCTGCACCACCAGCACCAGCACCACCCTTTCCACCCCCAAGGCCTCCCAAAAGGTTGCTGAGAAACTGCCTCTTCCGCTGCGCATTTGCATTCTGCGCACCAGCATTCTGCGGGATATCATCTTCAACACCTACACTACCCGACGTGCCCTGGTTCGCCGGTGGCGCAGCCCCGGATCCCATGAACGCGCCGACCATGACTGCAGCATCTACGTTGCCGTTGCCCTGCGTGCGACCCAGGGGACCCGTCTTGCCGCTTGCGATTTCACGGTCGCGGATGATTGCTGTGTCGGCTTGGGAACCGCATCCACTGTTTTCTTTGTTAGACTTCTTTCACGCCTGAGTTGTAAGGGGAGAGGGGAGGGATACGTACTTGGAGGAGCAATCCCGTGGTGTTCCATCTTGGATTGTCAAACCAGGCATACTGACGCCATTTGCGCCCTTGACTTCGGTGACGACGCCGTGGGCGGAGATGGTGGTTGCGGCGGTGAGGGCAAGGAGGAGGGTGCGTGGGAAGTACATTGTTGCGGTTTTCTTCTTTTATATTCAAATGTAAAAAAAAGGTATAGGAGGGGATGGGTGCGATGATCAACTCGAAATTTTCTATCCCAAATAATTCGGATAGAAATATAGATATAAGGGAATATATATAAGAAAGCACCAGGCTAAAGAGGAAAGTAGAGAGTAGTCTTGTACACAAAGCAAGATTGTGCTGCGGATACTTCTTCACCTCGACGTTTCCTCCACGCTCTTCTTATACAAACCCCTTTCCCTTTTCACGAACAAAAGATATGTCATAGAGAGGGTAGGTGTAGATCAGTGCATTCGCACCGCATTCTGCATTCGGTGCCATAGCCGCCATACCATGCCCTGCAACTCGCTAGGGAAAACCTCAGTCTCCACTCACGCATCCGAAAGCCCTATCGAGCAACAAAACAGAGCATCAGGCATTGTGGCGCCTGTGTCGTGAGGCGTGTTTGGTCTGAGGCTTTGCGCTTGTGCTGCCTTCCTCCCGGCGGAGAGGGTCCAAAACGTGGGCTTGGCGTGTGAATCACGGTGGTGGAGTGCTAAAGAGGTAGGGTGATTAGCTAGATGGGCCTGGGGGAGTAGTCTGAGGATCCCAGGCGCCAAGGTGTGCGGATGCTGTTTTTTCCATGCGTGAGGTTTTGAGATATGCGAAACAGGGAGACAGAAGGGTGGAACGGGGACGGGGAGTTGTTTTGTTCATAGTAGTAGAAATTGTGATAATGGCGTTGACAGCTGGGTTTTTTGAGGCTACTTTGACGATGCCAAATTGCTGCCTTGGTGCAGAAAGATAAATCCGGGAAAAGAAAAGAAAAGGATATCGTACACCTGTCTACGGTGTCAAACCCATCAGCGTGTAGTCTACAAAACCCACCACCACATCGAGCTAGTAGTCTAACAGTCTCGCGCCTAACCCGTTTCATCATCACGACCATCACCAACCACCCAACATCCAACGCCACACACATACAACCTCCCAAAACACATCACTCAACCAATCCCCACCCAGATCATCGCAGTCCCCTAAAAATAAACTCTTTTTTTTCAAAAAGATGCATCCCCCTTGTCAGGTGTTTTGTCACCAAGGAGACGAGAACCCCCCATTCCACACCTGTTGTCGCAGTCCCCGTGTCGCCGCTAGCGTTTCATCAAACAAGAACAAGGTCGATCTTCAAACTTGTTGTGCCTTGGTTTTCTCACAAACCCTCATTTTCGAATACTCTAGTCTCCGCTTTCTGTTTAATGCATGCAGTGTGTCCCCGGCCCGCTCCTGAGGGTTTTGCTTCCAAAAGCCGCCCCCACTGTGACCCGAAAACGTATGGTAGAGATGTGACGGTGGCGGGTGTTTGGTGTTTAGTCATGGTAGAGAGGCGAGATCGAAGTGGAGTATGTGTGGCTTAGTTTGGGTTCGGGGGATAAGGACGAAATGGGGAAGGAGACGCGATATTTTTTTGAAATCGACTTTGAATGTGTCAAACGTGGAAGTTTGGAGTTTGGTCTTATGAGGGCGATGTATAGGGCCAGTGGGGGTTTTGGCGATTTTGACATCTTCATGCACTTGCTTATGTGCTGGCGCTTCGGATAGGTATTTCTCATACTGTTTCTTGCACCTGCCAATGAGGCATGTGTGACTTGGGTTCCTTGGGACTTTAGTTCTTCATATGGCGCCGAAAGAAAGAAATAGTTGAAGTGTAGCGACAGCGATGGCTTCGCTTCCGAGTATGAAACTCGCAATGGAGAAACCGTCTTGCAGGCTTTTCTTGCATATGCCCCATACGAGCCCAAATGTGCCTGCAGATGCAATGCCGAAAAATAGAACGAGACAGATGCGCTGTAGATCCATGTCTTGTTCGAGATGCACACCCCACCCCGTGTAGAGGTCGGGATCTACGCCCGGGGTTGGGCGCTCCCCGATACGTTTTGGGAACTGCCTAAGACAAATATTGTCTTGGAAGCAATCCTTAGGCGAGCTGAAGCGATGCATGAGAAAGTCACTACCCAATGCTGGCGTACGATCTGGTTTGCGAGGATCGCATGTGTAGTGCTTGACCGCCTCCGGTGGCATATCATAGACGAGGCCGTCGACTTCTTTGCGAGCGTGTAGAGTAAACTAGGTAGAACCTGTGAGCTTGAAACGGCACATGTTTTCTTGCATTGGGAATCCTACCTTGACAAAGCTCATTCGTTGTACGGTCTGGAAGCTGAACTGGCGGTAGATCCATCGGAACTTTGAGTGGTATTCACGGCGTAACGCTTCGAAGAGCTCGCGATCTCGAGTGATTGTTGAAATCTGGAGGTCGTAACGGTTCGTTAAGAATCTCTTGACCTTCATGCATAAGAGGATAAAATCTTCTGGTATGTTGATGTTAGTGCTGTTGACTTGAGTGCTAGTTGTTGAAGACGTGGAGCGCCAGTTCTGTCGTCCTGGTGTAGTTTGAGAAGCCCTGGAGAGACCCGTCAAAGTTTGAAGTGGTCGGTTGGAATTACTGGGATCAATATTTACACTCGATTGTGATGGCAAATTCCCATTTGTTGGCCCACTAGTCGCTTTAGGAGGACTTCCATTAGCCACTTTAGAATGAAAAGTTCCCTTAGCCGCTTTAGAAAAAGTGATTCTAAGGTCTTCCACGACTGACTGTCGAAGATATGTTTCCCGTTGCGATGGAAATAAGGATACGTAAACCAAGAGCGCTTCTGTGCCGATGCTGAGGGTTAGAAGGCAAATGTTTCCAATGAAGTCAAAAACAGCTATAATAGCCCTTTCGGAAGAGAGACTTTCATCGTGTACCGCGTCTGACAGTTTAGAAACTATCCGTAGTGATCGAGATACCACCTCTTTGACACGCCACCTCAAAACAATAATGGTTAGAAGGCAAACGCCAATCTTTGCAACAACTATTCCAATTCTCTTGGTCATTCTGGAAGAGACACTTCTATCGTTTACCAAGTCGGAAATTCGAGGATGCATAGTTGATAGCGGTGGAGATGTCCATTTTTCGATGCCCAACCACGCAAGAATGCAGAATCGAATCCAAGTGTAAATGTTTGCAACTGTCATTCCAAGTCGCTCAAGCACAGCTCTTGCTGCAGATCGGCTGGACTGGGATGAATCACAAGCTTCCATGGAAGCTTTTATACCATGCTCTTGAAGCGTTTCCAAGAGTTCACGTACTGCACCAGGCCGATGCTCAGTGTAATGATCAAGTCCCCTGTACCCGCACGTCTTTCCCAAGTTAGAAAATCGCGCGAACAAATCGTCTGTGAAATTACTCACACATGTCCAAGATAATCGGTAGAGCTTGTCTACCATAGCTGCAGCGTGCGGCTTTTCAGTCTTGTTCTCAACCTGGATGTCCGGCTTCATCTTTCTCTGAATGATATCTTTCCCAAAGTTGCTGCGTACAAGATCCACTCGGTTCGGGATAACGAAATGATTTGGTTTCGCACTACTCTTGTCGTTCCACTGTACCTCTTTTTCTTGCGTTGCTGGCATCAAGTATACCGTCCTCAGAGGTGCGTTTGCCAAATGGGGGTGCTCCTTGCTCCAATACTTGGTATCGCCCATATAACATGCGCCGGTAAGGGTATAGTATTGCTGTGCGTCCAAAGGCTGAGTAGACAACTGATGAAACGCCCGGAGAATTAATAGTGCCGAGTGTTCGGGTACAAAGAAGATTGCTTTGTCGTCATCAGATGGTTAAAAGGCTTCGGGGAAGATTGAGCCATTCACTCACCGTCCTTTTTCTGCACACTAGGCGAAGCCAGACCCAACCTCGATAGATGAGCTGTTTTGATCAGCCGGTGACCGCGCGTGGCCTTTTTTACTTGTCTGATAAGAGTGCCATATGTATTGTAAGCCTCCAATCGATAAGATGGGTTTGGATCCTGTTCAGATTGAGAATAGGCCCTGTCTAAAAGGCTGGAGAGATTCTTCAAAGTCTTCCGAGAAACCAAACCTTTGTCACTGCGACGGAGCATTGTCAAAAGCTCTTCAATAGCACCCAGAGTGACCCAAGGCTTTGGGAATGGCCCGTTATCGTATTGCTCTTCTTCATCGATATCACCGACATCTTCAATGTAGTCGATTAAAAAAGCCTTTACTCTGAGAGCACCACTTGTATCAGGCGTAAATAGTGTTGAAGTACTCCGTTCTGATCTCTGTAACTTCATCACCTCGTTGTATTTCCACATTAACGAATCCAGAAAACGGCCTGGTATGTCATATCGTTCCAACTTGAACGAGATCTTTCCCGCCAACATCAATTCCCTGCACAAACTAGCCCTTTTGTTCCTTATCAGTTTCCAAAGTCTGAAGGGTTCGATTAAAACTTTGAATCCCGATATATGAGCGAGACCGCCGCTACGTAGGAACAAGAGGAAAGAGCCGGGATGCTGGAGGGCTTCTAGAAATGGCCGGTAAGCCTCCTCTTCTGCTTCCTTCACTTCACCTATCCATGCAATGGCCTTCGTAGCGCGTTTGTAGATCTGGGAGAATAACGAGATCTGTGTAAATTCTTCTAGAGGGTCAGAATCATTGATGCAAATAGCATCCGCCCACAGCCGCCTCTCTTCATGCGTATAGCGCAACCAGAAAAGTGCACGTTGCAGATCCAAAGGGATGAAGACGATTTTAGACTCTATGACGATGGACCCCATAGTACGAGGAGTAGTTCTGTTGTAAAACACTGCCTCGTACCCATTTTGGTCAGCCTTGCTACTGGCCTCGTTGTCATTATCGAGGTTGTAAGTTTCGAATCGTCCCTGTAGTCGCGCAGTTCTGTCTGTCGATGGAAGGAGAGCCAAGATTCGAATCTCATTTGCTTTTAACGAATGGTACTTGGGAGGGAGAACATGTGTTTCATATGCTCCGTAAAGATTCCAACGAGAACGTGCTCTGGACTTTGCATCGTTGTAGAGGATGTGGTATAACAAGTTAGACAAAAGCAATAGTACTGCTTGGCAGTCCTCCCTGAATGAGTTGAAGCTCATGATGATTGCAAGATGCGTCAAGAAAACCGAGAATCAGGCGCATGTTTATACTTCTAGCTGTTGCTACCTAGCCGACACGTCGCAGGCTAATTTCTCGCCAATAGTCGTTCGAGCCGGGCGCCACGGCGGCTTCAGTGACTCCACTGATAAATACAAGGCATTCTCAGCCTTGTCAATCCGCAGCCTTGCTGTTGATTTCGGGAACTGACTGGCACAGCCTTGGTGACACGACATGGTAGTCCCGAGGATGACGGCAATGCCATCTAAAGCATGAATCAATAATGAAAGTCGCAAGAGCAACAAAACAGTGAATAATAGGAAAAGTTGGTTGTGTGGTAAGGAGCTGGAGTCGATGCTACATAACCATTTCCCACGCCAAGGCGCTAGATCTAACCACTCACCACGCATGACCCATAAAACACCCAGAGAAATCATTTACACTGCTGAAGGCTTAACTATCACTTTTCCATTCAGAAGTATAAAAAAGAGCGGAACTCTCTAAGTAACCGTTCCCCATTAATCCCTGAATCCACCAATATGCCCAGACAGCCCCATTAAAACACCCAACCCCAATACTCCTCTTCTTCCCTGGTATCTAAATCAACCAGCCAACCCCCAACCTCAAAAGTCGAAGTGTACAAAAAGATTTTTTCGCCAAGATCATCGTGTTCGTTCCAGGCTGAATATGCAAAAAAATACAAAAAAAAATTGGTAACAGATACAGTAAAAAAAAGGAGAAGAATGGCTATATTCATTCAAGACCAGATCCCGTACCTCGTCTTCCACCCATACCCGGTCTCGAAACAACAGCAGCAGCACCACTAACACTACTCCGATGCCTTGCCATCCCCCCACCACCACCAGTAGCTCCAACCCCAACCCCATGCATGAGATCCAAATCCACCGGCGTACCAGCTCCCAGCGCAAAACCATAGGCTTCGGGTCCCTGGCCCGCAAACACAGCGTCGTCACTTAGATTCTGCTGGGGCGGAGGATCCACGTTAAAGGGGACAAAGTAGCTGCTCATGGGATCGAAGAAGTTGCTTGTGGGGCCAAGGCCGAGGGCGTCGAGGTTCCAGTAGGCGTTGTGGAAGTCGGTGGCTAGGTCGGGGAAAGGAGAGAGGTTGGCGGTGTGGGCTGAAGAGTCCATTTGGTGGGCGTGGGACGGGTGGATCATTGTGGGTGAGGTGTTGAGGAGGGGGAGGGAGGAGTGCTGGGGTTGGTGGTGCGATGTAAAGTCGGCGAGGAATTGCTGGGATGAAGATTGTTGCTGTTGTTGCTGTTGTTGTTGCACGTAAAGGTTTACGGATTCGTATCCGGCGGCCATGGCTCCTCGGATATCGTCTTGGGTGAACATGTTGACTGGTTCCAGGTGCTGCTGTGCTTGCATGTGCGCAGCAGAATTTTGCTGAGAGTGACCGTTGTGCTGCTGGTACCGCGGTTCGGGCTTCGACATTGACTTTGTTCTATTTTTCCGCGCTTGCTTGCGGTGGTGCTCTGTCTTTGACGGCGGGGATAACGAGGCGAAGAATTCTTCCACACTCTGGAGGTCGCTCCTATGACCCAGAACCGCATCGGTGCCTGGTTCGGACTGGTTCGACTCGGCCGCATCTTCGTAATCCGTCTTTGAAACTCCATGGGGATATCTGTCGAACCAATCCCCATATTGGAAGATTCTACCCTTGTTTTCACCCCTAGTATCGGGTCCCTTGAGCTGCGCATCAGCATGTTGTCGGTACAACTCTTTGAGATTTTCTGCAATGTAGTGAAACATGCCCCAGTACTTCTTCATCTTTGTCAGATACTTGACGTTGTACGCGAGGTATTTTTTCGATTGTGCTTCCAGCTTTGGGTTTTTCGAGAAGACTCCATGGACATGGACGGTGGAAGAAAAGAAGGCCGAGTATCCTGCAAATGGGGCGACAACATTGTGATCCATAGCTTCATTGATGAGGATTGATATTTGGTTCGCAGCGTCGAGTGCAGCGCGGGCGGATTCTGTCAAAAAGTCGTGTGGCATATCCTTTGGGGGTCTACTTCCTGCGGTCGAAGGCAATGCAAAACGATGCATGAAAAGCATGATTTGCTGCCATAATATGTGAAGGTAGAGGAAAGAGTTGGCAGTCTTTCCAATGGCGTGGCTCTTGAGGTTTTCGGGGGTGTACACGAGCATCTCAGGCAATGCAGCCTTGAAATCCTTGGCTTCCTTTTTAATAGCATGGAACGTGGACCCTGGAGACCACATAGTCTCGGATTCGCGTTCTTTGCCACCCAAGTTCATATACTTGATCAGTTTTCCCCATGTGCAGACCAGTCGAATGGTATATGCAGAGACACCCATGTTGTCGCGGGGATTCGAAAGCTGACCGCTGTCAGGTGGAACGGGATTTGGCACATTGCCCTCGAGATTCTCCGTCGGCGCATGTATCTCGTGTGTGTAAAGGTGCTCCTTGACTGGTAATTGCACTTCAATGTATTGCTCGTGCACGAAAAGTGGTCGGTCGGAACCAGAAGAGTTGAACCGATCCATCAAGAAGCAAGACCACATTGTCCGCCGCCGTATTTCTCTGTCAGTGGCGCTCAGGGGTTTCCTGTCGGGTTCGCTGACCAGCGGGTCGTATTCATTTTCCTTGTGTAATTGCAGTGCGTATGCCATTCTTTGCGCCATGCCGCCAAACATCCAACTCCGACCACCCTGACATGTACCAAATTCATGCAATCCAAGCAACAAGTAGACTATGAGAATTGTGATGTTAGGCGCATCGTATCGTTTTAGCGCAATTTCACGCGCTCGTACTGCCCAGTTGTCACCTCGCAGAAAACACGGTTCTGTCCGTAATTGGGGATGGTTTGAGAAGCGTGCTGAAATGGCACACAGGGCCAGAATTAGTACAGGCGGAACTTTGCCTGTTGCCAGCTTCCTCATGAAGCTGGGCTTGTGAAGAAGGGGATAGCTTTGGCCGTAGACATAGTCAAAGTAGACCTCTGCCAAGTGCTCTTGCATCTCTTTTGATGGCAAGCTGTCGGCACCTTCTGTGAGGAGCTTGCTCTCATCTGATTCCTTAGTTTGGGTAGTTGAGTTGGCAGTGTTTGGGTCTGCGCCTCTTGCTTTTGACCACTCATCGAGCTCATTGCCAAAGGCCTCTTCTGCGGCACGTTTCTTTGTGGTGGGTGTTTTGGGTGGGGCGCCGGGGATAGCGGGCTTAACGACGGATCTGCCTACATTGGCGACTGAAGGCAGGCTTTCTTTTGGTATGAGTTTAATGACACGGTCTTCCATGCGCTTCAACCTCTTGTCTAGCATGGCCATATAGTCGGTTCTCGGCGCAGCTTTTCGCGTCGTGACCTTGTACACACATGGTATCCTGCTGCGCAGACAGTGCTTGCATGCCGGCTTTTCGCCAGAGCAGCGAATCTTCTTTCTCCGGCAGGCAATGCAAGCCAGCGGCAGCCTCTTTCTTTCCTTGCCTGCCTTTGTCTTCATTTCACTCCACAGTGGCGGGTCCTGGACATCATCTTTACTCCGTCTCGACGTAGTCGAATGGTCTGTGCCATTGATGCTGTTGGCTGAGGCGTCTTTCAAAACATCTCCCATGGCAAACATGTTCATAGCCTGAGCGCTCTCCGGGCTCGTATGGTTCCCGTCGTGAGCCGGGCTTCCGCCGATGCTCATTCTGGTTGGGTGAACGCTGCTGCCGGCACCGCTCATACCCGCGTCGCTCATGTTGCCAACGCTACCTCTGTGGTCGGCGTAGCCGGGCTCGATCTTTGGCTGCAGACCGTCAAAATTGGAGGCATATGACTGGCCCTGTGCGAAGGCCATGTCATAGTCGGCAAGAGAGGCCATCATGTTTGCAGGACTGGTGCCGACGTTGTTTGGAGAGGCTCGGTAATCAGACAGGCCATAGTCAGTCAACATGAGGGAGTCGTCGGTGTCGTAGGATGGGTGCGAAGGGGCGGCTATCGAGGTTGCGGTGGCACTCGAGTCGGTCATGACTGTCTCGACGAACGGTTGCGCCCGTGTCTACCTGGATGGCTATGTCGCAAGGCAATGCCGAGGCAATGTCACATTAGTGTTCCAAACTTGAACCGAGCAAGTCATGTGAGCGTGGTGGTTGCAGGGCAGAGAAGCATGGCAGAGATGCGAAGCGGCGAGGTGTTCCAAACGGGCTATGCGAGTGTGTGCGTGCTGTGTGCTGTGCTTTGGGGCTCGGAGCACCGGACGGAGAGAGATGTTGGAAGCAAATGGGGAGGCTCCGACTTCTCCACAGGATAGTCACGGCGCTTTGGAGCCAAAAGGCAGTGGGGCGCTAGGCTGGTATATCAAAGCGCAGGCTGTGTATGTGGGGACGAGAAATGAACGTCAGCACCGCGACGCAGATGTTTACCAGGCCAAAATCACAGCCAACACAGGCGGCTTGGGGGCGCGAGCAGAGAGGGTTGGCTGAGGGTGCTCGGGGGAGGTGCACGATGACGGGGAGCAATGTAATGGGCAAGGCCAGCGTGGTTAGCAGCGAAAAGGGTGGCTTGGTGCTTGGTGCGGGCTTGTCTGACGCTGGGCCGTACTGGCATGTGTACTGTACTATTACTAGGTACACAGTGGTCGCTGCGTTCGGTCCCATGGCGCCGCGGGCTCCCGTCGAGATTCGCACAGCTTGGCCAGCCCGCTCCCTTGCCTGTTGAGGCTGACATGGAAGCGCCATCAGTCTGCTTCTGGTCGATTAGAATGGCGCGGCGGCAGGTTTGGGTTGGGATGGATACAAGCGACGGCGATGCTGTGGGCTGGCTTCCCCACATGGGCTTGCCTCTCGCCAGGGCCTGATTACTCAGCCATCACCAAGCACCCCAAGTCCAAGTCAAGTCCAGCTGCAAACCTCTCCCACTCCCCAAGCACACGCCTGCCACTCGCCTCCCGCCCCCTGTCTAGGCGCATGCACCAGACGATCATTGGCAATCGCTTTTAGGCAATCCCATTACTCGGTCGGTCGCTCTGCAGCAGATAGTACTATGTACTTACGGAGCATCCTACTTGTACTGACATCCTACTACATGCTCGATACGTGCGTACTGCATAGATTACTCTACCCTCTTGACACCTTTACTCTTTCACCTCCGTGCATCTGCATCCTCCTGTCATGCACGCACACACACACACACGCAGTCGATCCCCTTTGCACGTCACATCCGACGCCCCATGTTTCCCTTGAACGTCATCAAGCTCCGTTTCACCTCGCCTGACACAGACATGCTGAACTCTAAACCCGCACAGAAGCTGTATGATTCTAGCATCACCGGATAGGCCCGTCTACCTTCCCATCCTCCCCGAAGACGAAAATCAGACCACGACTCGGTCGCTTTTGCTGCAACAGTCAGTCCGTCCAAAGAAAACGGGCGGGACCCCATGATGCGCCCACACACCGGTTTCGCCCTGCCCTGCCTTGCGCCCTCGTTTTTTCCTGCGGGGCTTACACACTAGCCCTGGGCCCGCCACTATGCCCAACCCCAACCCCAGTGCCACCAGCCCGTCCATCCCCCGCCGCCCACCACCACCACTACCACACCACCCCCCCTCCCATTCTCAGCCAAAAGCCCAAAGAACCTCAATAAAGGCCACGTGAGCACGCAGCCACACAGAACCCAATCTCACCCTTTTCCCCCGCAACGCCCTTGCCTTATTTTCCGATTCGACAGACCATCAGTCATTTTAACCTTTTGCCAACGCATGCACATGGCAAAAAAGAACCCACACACATTGATTTCTTCCCCCCCCTCTTCGCACATGTGCATGTCTACCCACCCAACGGTCCGATGCTTGGCACCTTCCGCGTTGGCCACGTGCAAACACTTACACGGCCATCGCCCTTTTTCTTACCTTAATCTTGGCTTCCTATAGAAACAAGCAGCGTAGTCCTTATCTATCCTTCCCCCCTGGTCTTAAAAGGATGAAGAGGGGTAAGAGGGGAAAACCGGCTTAGTTTGTGTAACCCGTTAATTTTTTTTCTTTGCACCGTGTGGGGTCAACTGGGAAAGACCCCGTGTACATACGTACGTAGTAGATAAGCAGTAGTATGGACTGCATCTGCGACCCCACTCTGACGTTGGGGAAAACCAGAGGCGAAAGGACAATGGTAGGCTATGCAACCTTGGGGGCTACGTTACCTCTTTTCTTCTCTTCTGTAAATACTGTAGTAGGCGTCGTCTGATCCATTTATCCGCTGTGTCGCAGTGCAATATATATGTATATGTCTGAAATTGGACTCGCTACTATTCCGATAGCCTTTCCGCACCCATCTGAGCGCAACCACCAAGTATAACACAAGCTAAGCTAATTGTATTGTACGCCGTTATTATTGCGCGTACAGCGATAATCAATCCTGCACAAGCATGCACGCACGCACGCTCCAGGGCAAATCATGTAGTCAGCCGCGGTAAGAGTGCGAAGCTGACTGCCTAGACTGAGCTTATTCCCATCCCTTCATTGCTTGATTTATTTTAGCCCCCCCCCCTACGCCATATTTAAGTATAGAATCAAAAGAGGACCGAATAAAGTAATCCGTAACCCGTCATGTAAAGGAAAGGACAGAGAGAGAGAGAGAGAAAGGTACACGACCTGCGCCAAGGTGCGAGAGGAACACAATTTGCAAGAAACATATATAGTATCTCAAATGGTGATTGCCCACAAACTTCATCATCCCCGACTCCCCCTTTCGCTCGGCACCGAGCTTATTCCATGGCTCCACCGGGATAATTTGCGTATGCGCTGTATGGACTGTGTAGAGGAGTTGTAAGTCAGTACGGAGAAGTAACCAATCAAAAAAAAAGCCGTTACATCTGTTTGCTGGAAAAAGAAGAGAAGAGGTATATACTCACCTATAGGTCTGATAAGTCACCTTAGCAGCCCCATGCTCAATCGCTGCGTCTCCCATAGAACCAGCCATATCCTGCTTCTCCATCACCCCCGCATCCACGGCCACGTCTTCCGGCACAGCTATGCCCATGTGGCGCTTGCTCATATTCGCGTCTTCCACATTCGCAGCTTGCATCTTTGCGGCTTCAGCCTCGGCTGCTGCGCCGTAAACGCAGTACGGCGCATATGTACCGTAGCCTCGTTTCTCTGGCATGCTGGATTCCGGGGCCGCGGCATTGGGGGCTTCGGGGTAGGGCGTGTAGGAGGTGTAGCAAGAGTATCCGCGCTTGGAGAGAGCCGTGGTGGCTGACTGGGCCTCGGCGACGGAAGGATAGTCGCCGTATTTTGTGTAGTATTCGCCGTAGCTTGCATAGTCTTGCACTATGGGCTGTGTTGTCTCGCCCTTCGTTGGGTTGGGCATGCTTTTTCCCACTGGGGCAGCGATGGCGAGGCCGGCTAGGCATGCAAGGAAGGCTGCAGGATGCATGGTGAGGAGTGCCTGGAAGACTAGAGTTGGAGAATATCAAGTAGTGAATGTTTGCTCAAGATTGCTGATGGTATGAGTTGATGATGCTGTGAGTCCGTTACGGAAAGGCTCCTTTTGTATACAATCCTGTCTACTTTATCATTGACAAGATTCCCAGTATACACACTAGCGATCGAGATACAGCATTAGGTTCCATCCGTTCAGCACTCTGCAGCAATGGCTCAATTCTACAGTTAGCTCCCAATGCTGCATGCTGTAAGACATGCAAACTTACTGTAGAAATGTTACCTCGTGCTGCTCTGGGCCCGCACTATTGTCAAGTCGACCCATTGTATTCGAATAACGCATTCCAGGGCCTCAAAGCGGTGTGCCTGTGGCACATGTGAAACAGAAAGCTCCTGTTTTGACTTGTGAGACTTATTGTTTGTATGACGAAGGCTTAAGAATATGAATGGTATTGTGTCCCGTTGTCACCTTTGTACCAAGGCTGAGATGGTGCACCAGGACCAGCCTAGACGGTGGTACTCATTGCAATGTCAGTCATAGAATAAACCGGGTAGTGTACTCAGACCAATATATCGCAAGCAAAGCATTATGGGTTTATGCAGGTGATGGTGTACATGCACGCAGGCTGGTCAACAGCGCTGTACGACAGTGACAAGTTGGATGCGAGATACTTGTTGAAAGTAGCCCTAGGATAATCAATGCCTAGCGATACCACCTCTAGAGCCAGACCAGGTGGTGTTGCCAATGTGGTCACGTTGCCTCTTGTATCTGCGTACCAACGTGTTTGACATTTTTGACATCTGTCGCTGTACTACCGCTTGTCATACAAAATTGGTCCTGTGGTACTGGCTGATTCGTACAGTTGGTAGTGATCGGGTACAGGTGGGACACGACGGCATGAGGGTTGGCCGTGTATGCTCTTACTGGAGATATTCTGGGTCTTATGAGTGCCGCGCTGCTATCAAGAATACTCTGCTTCTTTTTACTCTGGCTCATCTTCAAGGTAAATTCATACCATGTCCAACATGCTGAAAATATTCAACCGTCAGCCTAAACATGACTGCCTGCATCGGCGGGACTCCGAGAGCCAAGACAGCGACAGCTTGCTGCCAATCCCTTCATCGGGCTCGCCACCCCTCAAACCCTCTCCTTTGTACCGTCCAAGCCGCGATACTTGGGTCGCTGTAAGGGTGCATGTGCTGTGCACCATCGTATACGCGGGCGCGACGTTATGGATAGCTTTCCATGTGAACAGAACGACCTCGATCGTCAATGCTGACGAGTTTTGTATTCACCACATCTCACAATACTGTAAGCCTTGATGAATGAAGATGGGTAGCATTTGGTGACCTTGACAGCACCCGTCGTCAGAGATGTGAAGCCGAATTGGCATGTGCAGTTGTTCAACGGAAGCTTCTTGCACCAGAATGCTTATCGGCAGGCGGCAGGGCCAGAGGTCGACGCGGCGTGGGATGCACTTGGTATCAACTGTAAGTGTATTTGGTATACTGATGACTCGTGTTGACTGTTGTCCGAGACCGAAGTGTAGTGATTCCCGAGGCGGAGGCGGAGCAAACTGGACTGCGTCATGACCAAGTGAAGATTAGTCAGGAGTACGGTGGTGGCTTCCCAGCCAACGTCGAGGGCCTGCATCACCTGCACTGTCTTGTGAGTGCTAACTTTGTATGCAAATGGATTGATATTGACTGTCTGGAGGATCTCCTTCGCAGGACGTTGCATTGGAACTACGACTACTATCTGGCACAAAAGCAGGGGGCATTTGCGAATAGCGAGTACATTGTGCGGGTGCATGCTACTCACTGCCTGGACACTATCAGACAGGTTCTCATGTGAGTGCCGGGTGACTCATCAGCCATACAAAGACTAACGAACTGGGCAGGTGCAACCCGGACGTGGGCGTGTTGGGACAGGTATGGTGGCAGCCCGACAGCGAGCCAGAGCCAGAGCCAATGCCATTTGTCGACTTCAACACGAAGCACCGATGTCGCGACTATGAGGCTATACGGAAATGGGCAGAGGCGCACCAACTGCCGCCCGAAACAGAGGTGGACATGGAGAGGTTCTATCAGAGGCCGAAGGCAGGGGACACGGTCTTGGGCGAGATTCCATGAAGTCATGGCGGGCGCTGAGCAGGTCAGCCAGAGGGATGGATTGGGTAGCCGGGCAATGCAAGTCTCTTTTCTTTTCTTTTCTGCCGTGCTCAGTTTTGGCGAGGCTTGACTACGCCATCGTGCACTATGTAATAGACGACGGTGCTATCAGTGTCGACCGTGGCCAGCACCACACGCTTGGTTGTCCGCCATGGGTTGGCCGGGCTCGCCGTGTCTGTTGTATCCGTCTCGTGTGGCGGGATGATGGCAATGGCATCAAAGACGGTAGCCAGCCTGCGCAGAGTCCACTGCTCCTTGAGCCGGGTGGGCAGGATCCATTCGCGCTCGGGGTCAGCCTTGACCTCAAGAGCAGCAGGCTCACCGGGTGCGCGAGCCTTTCTCTCGCGGTCGGCCTTCTTGAGCAGCTCGACCTGCTCGTCGGGGTGGACGTAGAGACGGCGGGGCGGTAGGCCAGAGACGAGGGGACGGGGCAGAGGGTCGTTTGTGATGGGCGAGTGCGTGTGAAGGCACAGGGCAGTCCAGTAGTGCTGGTGCTGGAGATTGTGCATGATCTGGCGGGCGAGCGAAATCTCATTGGGAAGGTGCGTCGTGGCAGCGTCTTGCGACGACGCCGCTGATACGAAGGTTTGTAGCGGGGCCGGCGCAACGGCCAGTCTCATGGCGCATTGCACAGCAGACGTCGTCATGTCCGGGCCTGGGCGCCGCTGCGAGGTCGAGGATAATTGGCAGTCGACGGCGTCGCAGGGTGCGCAGCCTACTGGGGTGACGAGGAAGCTACGCGGTTGCGGAAGGAGCGAAGATCTCGACTGCCTCCCCCACCACTCACCACTCACGAGAGCATCCCGCCGCCGTCCATGGCCGTGGCATTCACCTAGGCAGCGACAGACGCACCCTTCTTATACCGCCCACTGCCGCTACATCATGCACATCGCCCTCTTCTTGTAGACGCTGCCAGACAACTACCACTGCATCATCCTCCAAGATAGCCGTCGCCATGCTCGCATCTACCTCCATCTCCACCTCTACTGTCCTGCTGCTTCTGGCTAGCGTCGCCGTCGCACAAGACGCCCCTACCACTCCCTCGCCCTCTCTTGGCCCTTCGCCCACCAGCGAGGGCGTCTTCACCATCCAGACATCGGTTCCCGCTGATGATCCATGGGCCTGCTATGAGGAATGCTTCATGGAGCCGTGCCCGCCCTCGCCATGTAAGTATCTTGAGTCTATCTGACTAAGTACTTGGTATGCATGCATGTCTACCAGCACCACGCACTGACTCGACTAGGCTCCAGTACACCTAATGCCAGCCTGGGCACCCCCATCCCCCTCCCCCGGCCCATCTCAGAATCCATCGCCTCCATCATCACAGACCCTTCTCTCTCCACCGTCACTGGCGTCATGACCATTCCTGCCGGCGAGACCCCCGAGACGCCCATTTCTACTGGCGCCTCCGAGACCTCCACGGGCGCTTCTTCGTCCCGGACAGGCAGCTCTTCATCTCAGACAGGCAGCACGAGAAGCCCAGCTAGCTCTGCACCGCCCGCGGCAACGGGCAACGCCGTGGCACTCAATGCTAACGCCCATCTCGCTCCGCTCGCGGCAGCCGTTGCCGGTGCTTTCGCACTGATCTGAGCAAGCAGTACGGGAGCATGGTAGGGCCGAGTCACAGATTGCGCATTTTACCTACACATTCATATTAGCACCGGTTTAGTATGACTTACTGAAAACCACTCTAACCTGCAGCCGTGTTCAACCAAACTTCCAACGGTTGCTGTGCTGCCTTTCAAGTTCTTGCTTCTGTGACTGTGGGCAGTGATGGGGTTAGACCAAAAACTTAGTACGTGCCAGTGTCGCACACGAGAAATGATTCACGCTATATATAAAACGACATCAAATGAAGCCTCATGTTCATATAGTGTGTCTATGTTCGTGTGTAGTCCATGATGTATCATAGCAAATTTTATTCTGCCTGATACCCTCACCGCCAAAATCATGCTCCACAGTGATTGTCTTGATGCGACAAGTCGAGTTCAGGGGCTGCGCAACGCCGAGCCGCTCACAACTGACGGCTGGGTATGGTGGACAGCAAACAAACACAACGACAACACAGAAGTGGTCACGATTGTGGCGGAGTGGCTGTACGCGTCCTTGCACTGCAGGACGCGTCTAGCGTGTGGCTCAAATGCTGCAGGGAGGTGGATCTGGGGTTTAAAAGCGCAGGAGCCGCCTCCGAAGCAGTCTAGCCCCTCCATCACCCCATCGTCTGCAATGTCCGCGCCAAAGTATAAGGGTGCCATGGCGCCCGATAACAAAGTGCCAGTTATCCCTCCCAACAGATTCGACACCACACGTCATACACCGCCGTAGGGGACAACCCAGCAAAAGCAAGGATCCCGCCAAGCCAACACGGCATTGCACTATACATCATCAACCACCTTGGCTGGCACATTGAGCCGCAAGGGGACATTCACAAACTGTACATAACCGACGACGTGGACCAACCACCTTCTCTCTTGCACATGGCGTCCCCTAACAGCAACATCCCCACGCCGGTGCCGTTCCCACAGCCCCCAGGTATCGCCAACCAGGACACGTCCAACTCTGGCCCAGAGTCACCTACTACCAATGGCCGCGACCGATCTTCAACAAATGCCTCGACCGTCTCGAGTAGACTGCGAAGCGCCACTGGCAAGCTAATGGAAGCAAACCCTCCACCAGGCATGTGGGCAGCAACTGGTACTACTGCAGCCAGGGCACCCTCTCTTTCAGACATTAGGACAGGCTCCTTTGGTTCTGACGGCTGGAATGAACACGCGCAACGCAGTAGAGCAGGGTCCCGAGCTAGTAGGCATGCGTCAGGATCGAGAACATCTACGACTGTAACAGCAACATCGGAGCAGCCAGAGCCCTCGCACGCTGCAATACGCAGGACCTCATCGAACAATGTGTTGGGCACCCAGTCTTTTCCAGCTTTGGTTGAAGAAGATACACGTCAAGTATTAGAACACGACGCTCAACACAACGCTGTACCTGGCGCACCGTCAAAGCACAGTTCCGACACAGCAACCGAGTACGTTGATGGCGACAGGCCACAACAGCCCAAGAGAACGTCTTCAGGCCGGGTACATCAACTGTCTCACTTCCCCCACTGCAATTGTACTAATGACAGACAGTACACAAATGGCTACATTCCGCCACCGAAACTCCCGTGGAAACAAACCTTTGCCATCAGTCTCAAGAGCTTCTGGACATGGTTCCTCACCCCTGCAGGCTTCCTCATCACACTGTACTGTCTCAACATTGTTGCATGGGGTGGCATGTTGTTCCTCCTTCTCTGCAACGCTGCACCGGCCATGTGCAAGCCTACTTGTGACGATATAAATTCACCACGGCGCGTTTGGATTGAGATTGATTCGCAGATCCTCAATGCACTCTTCTGCGTTACCGGTTTTGGTCTGGCTCCATGGCGTTTCCGCGACCTGTACTGGTGGGCTTGGTGGAGGGTTGGTGGATCAAAGCGCACTGAGACGGGCATTCGACGACTAGCCGGCATACATCGAGGATGGTTTAGACTTCCTGGCTCCGATCGGTTACCAGATGACGCCGATGCAACTTGCGTCGACCCTCTGCACCCTGCTGTACCCATCCCCCTCAAGGCGATCCCAGACCCACCCCCGACAGCAATGCGCGCCCCGCCGACGAAAAGCTGGACCATGGACGTTGTTGTGTGGTTCAATGTTTGGAACACATTATTTCAGATATGCCTGTGCTTCTACATGTGGCATTATGACCGTATACAGAGACCGTCATGGGCCACGGGACTTTTTGTCGCACTAGCCTGTGGCGTGTCTGGCGCTGCTGGCTACATCATGTGGCAGGAGGGCAACAAGGTTAAGAAAATCGAGGGTGTGCCCATGCGTAAGGACTATGGACCCACAGATGCAGAAGCATCTTTAAGCGTACCATTGGTCAAAACAGGTGTGGCGACGAAATCCTGATATTAATGCCGAGCTTTCTGCGTGGCGCAAGCAGGGCGGATGAGGCTGCTCATTGGGGACGGAAGTCTGCACTGTGTTCTTGGCGTGCAGCACAGCCCGCGGCTCGCCTCGTCTGGCGTTATCAAGTCATCTTGAAAAGCGTTCATAGTCTGCAGACACTGTACTCATCAACAATAATACATAGTCGCCCATCTACAAAAAAGCTTGTTGACTGAAAGCATGTTCATGGGAATCATTACGTCAGTCAAACACTTTGCATTTACAGCAAAAGGAAGCATCCGGACGGTTCTTCCGGGCCCGTCATTGTTCCACTGACGGACTGGCCGAGCTCCCCGAAGATACCGATATGCGTACTAAACATATTTGAAGCTAGACCTGTTGATCACAGTGACGTCCCTCGAGCGTACTAAGCAATGACTGGTGACAGATGCACGAGACCTTCAGGGTTTGCTCGGTATATATAACTTGGCCAAGGCCTACCAAGGCGCAGGGCGCCTGTTGGATTTCCTACTGTTTTTTTTCAAGTACGCTTTATACTTTCTTTTACCCACTTCACGATAGGATCGAGCGTAATAATAGAATTCACGATTTACTGGGAGGAGACTACAAGAGATGGCAGCACATGACTACTATATGGGCACACAAGGTGTCCACGAACTTCCAGGAAGCCAACCACCAAATAAATACCAGTCGCATCCTTCAAAACCACCGCTATACCAGCAACCACCAGCATCACCGTACATGAACACGCCGCCGCCATCATACTCTGCGCATCTTCATCTACCACCACCGCCGAAACAACATAATGGCTACACACCTCACCAACCATATCCTGAAAAACCATCCCAACAACAAGCAATGATGGCACCCTACCCCCAAACGCCACCACCAGGCGGCTACTTCGCCTCCCCACCACCACTCCCACAACCACAACCGCAACTCCAACGCCAACACAGCAGCTACCTCGGCGCTCCCCTCCAACCCTACAGAAGCCACTCCCAACCCGCCCGCGTCCGCTTCGCAGACCAAGACTCAGACCGCAGCACGAGCCTGGGCTCAATCTCCGACTCCGACTCTCCTCCACCACCACCCAGCCGCCATCACCACCACCACCATCACCACCACTATACTCAGCCTACCCACACCACCACCGCCACCACCCACCACTCCTCACGCTCTCGAGACCGCACCTACGACTCCGACCACAGCGACCGCTCCCGTGATCGTTCTTCCTCGCGCCACCACCACTCCCACTCCCACTCCCACTCCCGGCGCCACAAACCGCACAAATCCCTCTCTTACGACAAGGCCCACGAGGAATCGCATAAAACGCGCGACACATTCCTTGGAGCGGGCGCAGGCACAATTATCGGAGATGTCATTTTTCCGGGCCTGGGTACGGCGGCGGGATTGGTGCTGGGTGGGTATGGGGGACGCAAGTATGCGCTTGAGAAGAGGAGGGAGGAGGAGGGGGGTGAGCGGGAGAGAGGTGGGAGTGGGAGTGGGAGGAGGAAGAAGGGGTGGGATGAGAAGTGTAGGATGGGTAGGAAGGGGGCGGGTGTACGATAGAGATTTTTTTTTGAAAATGGGAAGAGAGGGGGAGGATGAAAGAAGGGGGTGTGTGTGTGTTTTGAGGCTGCTGGTTCAGCCTTATGATCATGATTATGACTATGACATGTACGATATTTCATTACTTTTGCAAATGTTTTGATAAGACCAATAGCGCATTTTTTTTTGTAGATTCGAAAATATGTCTTTATTCAAATCTCTTCGAAAATTACATGAGATGTATGTCTTCAACCGAACTTGCGCGGTAGCATTCCATCATGCGTGTCTAAAACGTAAAACGATTACAACTAATAAAGGTAAAAAGCGTGAAAACAGTAAACTTTTCACGGGTAGATGGATGCACGTCTTCAACCGCACGGAAAAACGGTAGCGCTACATCCTACATCTCATTATCCCGCCTAGTGGAATGAACATCGCTTAGTAGATACCGGGGATGATCCTCCAGGGAACAAGCTCCACATAACGATCCCAATCCTTTCCATACTTCTTCTTGCACTTTTCCTCATCACGGCGTTCGCGGTGGATGAGCAAGACAGCAAAGTAGACGATGAAGAAGTAGGTGAAGATCATACCCCATCCCTTGGCCTCACCAGGTACAACGTACTTTCCGTAGCTGTTCTTGAAGAAGTAGGCGTCAGTCTGGGCAGCAGTGACGGGGTCTTGAGCTGCGTTCTTGATGACATATCCGGACACGGCGGTGGGCAGGACATAGGACCAGCTCATGAACCAGTCGCCAAGGTAGTTGATGTGGCGGGCCATACCCCACCAGCCACTGACGAGGAGCTTGGAGCCGGCGGCTGTCTCGATGTACTTGAGGTGCTTGACGCGGGGGTCTTCGGGGTTGGTCCTGAAGCGGTTCTTCTCGTTGTTGACGGCGCGGAAAATGTAGTAGCCAATACCCTGTACGGCCAATACACCGGCTACACCGGTCAGGCCGAGTTCGACGGGGTAAACCGAGAGATAGCGGGTCTGGAGAGAATAGGTAAAGGGGACCCAAACAAGGTCGCCAAATGAAAGCATCATGCCGAAACCATCTGCGATCAGGTCAATGGTAGTGAGAATGGCGGGCTCCATGTATAAGGCGTCAAAGGTATAGACGGTTTGCGCAACGGTGACGAGGATAATGGAGTCGGTCACGCGGCCAAAGTTGCGGTACTGTTGCACCATAAAGGCAAGGTCCATGATGACCCATCCTAGCATTCCAGGGCGAAGTTCGCACCATGCCTTGATATCAACTTCACCAAAGATGGGTAGGGTGATGCGGGGGTTCAGTTCACGTCCAATAAACCAGTCGTACAGCATGTTGCCAGTGTGACCGCCAGCTGCAAGCTCCCGCATGGAGGGATCCTTAGGGTGCTTAACGCTGAAAGAAGCAACATAGACGTAGATGGCCAGGAAGTAGGAGATGAGGATATTGCTGGTGACGATACCGATATAGTTGTCGTGAATAAAAGTCCAGACAGGGAAGTCGACACCTTGGGCGATGGTTCCAGCGGCGAGAACCGATACGATGAAGAGAGCAGAGTAGAAGGCTGATGCGTATTAGCATAATAAGCTCCTGTCACGTGAACACGGCTTACCATTGAACCTGTACTTGAGCCTACCACCGGACCTGAGCTCTGTGCCCTCACACTCTTCACCTGGGAGGAAGCGATACAGGACCAAGCTCAGGAAGTAGTAGCCCAGGGTGCCAAGAAGAGCCTGTGTGTTGAGCAGACCAGAGAAACCGGTCCATCCAACCTCCTTCTTCAGCTGTTCAAGGCTGAAGCTTTCAGGGTGGAGGAGCACGGGTGCCGGGCATCCAGAGATGTCATTGCACACAAACATGAAGACGTAGACTAGAAGAGGAAGACCAAAGGAGATGAGGAAAGCTCCAGGACTGCCAATGCGGTTAGCGTGATGATGGCCAGGGTCCTCGAGCAAGATGGAACATACGGTCCGAGAAACTCATAGCCATGAGGCTCCTCGGCGAGCTTCTTGACGCCCTTGTCGGCGGTTGCTTTTGCCATTGTCCCAGCTGTCGAATTGTATCTTTTGACTCTTTCAATGCCTGTGGATGGCGCAAACAAACAAACAAATGTAAGCAGAGGAAAAGGGGTCCGTCGCGTTCTGTCCCACAACAACAACAAACAATCCCAGGCTCTTTTCTAGTGAATGATTGACGCGCCGCCTGGTGGGTAGACGATTGGGGACACAGGGTCTCCTTATGTAGTTGAGTGCAGGACCACACAAATCAGTCGATGGGAGAGGAGGTCGGAAGCTTCGCAGCCGTAATGACGCGCACAGGCTGGTCTTGGCGGCACTAACCGCACCCAGCCCCAGCCGGAGTGCCAGGGATGCTGCGGGTGCAAGCCACTACGACATGGGGTGGCAGCTCCGAAAGCCAACGTGTTGTAAAGGACAAGACGTGTAGGCGATCGGTTCATCGCAGTCTTCACCGTCACCATCGAGTATCGCCGGACTGCGCTGTGCGCCGACCAACGCCGTCATGATAAACCTACTTCACGTCCTGGTGCTCATAGCAGCATCGGCGCTTCCCTTTGCAGCCGCCGCCTCGGACAAGCCGCTCAAGCCATGTACGGTCATCTCGCCCACCACCGAGCGCTTCTTCGACCTCAACCCCATGCGCCGTCTGGCGCCTTCGGAGTCTGATGGCAAGAAGAGCAACAAGAAGGAGGCCGAAGAGGGCAGCTGGCATGCCAGAGGCTACGACTATGGCGCAAACTTCACCATCAACTTCTGCGGGCCTGTTGTAGAGGAGCTCGACGAGGTCCAGGACCTTGACAAGGCCCTCTGGCGCAACGTCAGCGCGTTCTACGAAAAGGGCAGCAAGCAATGGGCCATCGGGTGAGTTCTACTGCCCGCCAGCATTGATACCATCAAAGAAAGACGATGAGGACAATCGTTATATGCGCACCCTTCCCCAAGGCTGAAACATAGCAAATTTGGAGTCGCAATGCTGACTGAACACCTCCCCCACAGCCTCGAGAGTTCAGAACCCATATTCCGCGGTCGCAAACTCATCCTCAACTACACGGGCGGCTCGCTGTGCCCCTCCTCGCCGTCAAAGTCCAAGCGCGCGCTCGAGCCAGTCGCGCTCGACTCGCGTGAAATCATCGACGGGGACGACGACGACGATGACAAGGGCAAGGACAAGGACAAAGACAAAGGCAAAGATAGAAAGAAAAAGACGGAAGAACGCCGCAAGACGACTGTCATTTCGCTCCTCTGCGACTCGGATCCCCTGGCCAAAACCTCCGTGTCATTTGTCGCCGCAGTAGACGACTGCGCATACTTCTTCGAAGGTCGCTCGCCCTTTGCCTGCGGCGGCGTACACCAGGAAGCGCAGGCGCTGAGTCCCGGCGGCGTCTTCGGCGTCATGGTCACGATTGCCGTGCTCGTCTATTTCGCCGGTGGTTGCGTCTACCAGCGCACCGTCATGCACCAGCGCGGATGGCGCCAGCTGCCAAATTATGCCATGTGGGCTGGCATCTGGCGCTTTTTCACGGTGAGTTTACTCCGGTGCTTTCGGAAGGGCGGCCGCATCGCTGTTTGATCTAGTTTAATGTCCCTTTGGCCTCTTGGAGTGCTGACGTTAAAAAAGGACATGTTTGTCATCTTGACTTCTTCCTGCGCTCGCTTTATGCCTGCTCGTCGCGGATACAGTCGCGTTTCCCTGGGCCAGGACAATGCGCGTAGAGGCCGCCGCAATGAGGATGAGGATAGACTCATAGATAACTTGGATGAGGAGTGGGATGATTAGACGGTCCCTGTGTACAGATATTGAGCATGGCATCATGATACGGCGTTTATGGGTTTGGTTTAAGAAGTAGCACTTCGCCTTGGAGCGTATTAGTCTCGGCGTAGAGTGGGTTGTTTGGATATGTAGTATGCGTTAGCAATTCCATCGCATCACGTCACTCAGCACATGCCATTCTCCCAAAGAGCCACATTCTTGTATGTATGTATTGAGCAGGTAGCTGGTGTTACTATCTTGATATGCTAAGTACATCCAGCGGGCGAAGCGTACCCAGCGCCCGGGAAACACCAGTGCAACCTGCAGATAAACTCGTCCGTGTCCATCAAAATCAGGGGCCGAAAGGTTCGCATCTCCACCATTTGTCCAAACAGTACCCCACCTGACTGGCTGACGTTACCAACTAAATAGTAACGATGCTCCAACCTGCAAAGAGCCATCAGGAAATCTCCAACAACGTTAGTCAGATAACCTGTCAAGAAAGCCAAGGGGGGGGGGGGGGGGTTATCGCGAGGTACCATGACCCGTCATCGTCGTCGTGAAGGAAAAGAAAAAAAGGTTAAGAAAATCCTCCCGCTCAGCTGAACGATGCAAGTAGATGTGAGTATACCGACCTACTCATCATCATCCATGTCATCCTCGACATATGGCTGATTGTATGACCTGAACTTCTCCCACAAGGTCCTGGGTACATTGTTGGACTTTTCATCGGCCTCTTTAGAAGACTCTTGTCCCGAATGATCCATACCATGATGCTCCTCTGTACCATCGTGAACCGGCTCTTTGCTCTGGGCATCCTTAGGTGCTTTTGGATAGACTGAGCTGAGATTTCCATTGGCGATGGGCTCGAACTGCGCATCTATACCTCTCAAGATCTGACGAGTCGCTGACTTCATCTCACGCTCTTCCTTGATCAGTACTCGCGTAGGTTGGTTAGCGAGCGCACGTGTGTAGTCCATTTCCACGTTGACAGATATTTCAGAGGCTTTGGCTTTTATCTGCCTACGCAGGTTTTTGTACATGGCTTCGAGACGCTTGTCCACTCTCTGAACCGCTTTACGGAACATTGTATGTCGAGCAAGCACAACATGGCTTGTCATGTGTTCCTTCATCCGCTTGAACGACCCCAGACCATTCTGTGCGGCGCATATGTTATATGCATCACGCATCGTGTCCATAATGCAAGGCGTAAAGTTACGATTAGCTTCGCGTTGGATATCGTTCATCTGATTGACAAGATCAACACCATATGCCTTCAAGACATCTTCGTAGATCGGGAGTCGTGTCTTCAAAATGGATACGTTGGCAAGTCCAATCCCAGTGTTTTGAGCACGAACTTCGATGGCTCTGTGGGTATTATTAAGGAGTTTGTTGAGGTCATCGATGTGGCTGTTAAGTGCTTCTGGGAGGCGTCTCTGAAATGTACGCTCCCAGCCTGTAGCGAGCCGCTTCATTATGGGTTCGACAAGATCCGAGTTGAAGTCTCGCTTCCCCACTGCTGTAGAATGGTAGACACCCGCACGGCGGACTACGGCTTTGTACGTGCCCCAATTTAGACCTCCTTGGTCCTTCTGACCCCAGGCGTCAGCTGTTGCAGGCGCAGCCTCGATGGCATCATTGACAAGTTCTGGGAACCTGTCGGAGATTTGAAGCTTCACCTCGGACATCACCTGCTTGACACATGTACGCACGCTGTCATCAAAGCCCGTATTCAGCTCTTCCATCCTTCGCACTAGAAACTCCAGGTGCTGCTGTTTATCTTTCTCACTCAACTTCAAGTCAGGACTGTTCTCCGACGTCCATAGCCTGAAAGTGATCAACAGTTGAAGGAAACCCGCTAGGAATGTTCGGCTTGACTGAATTCGGCCAGCCTCGGTGAGCTTCTTGCAATGAATCTGGAGCTGCGGGATTTCAGTCTCTTCTAAACTTGTGAAGCCGTGCACATTGTCGTCCTTCTGCATGCGCCCACACATCTTTTGATATGCTCTGCTGCTGACACAGAAGACGGGTAAGGACTTCGCGACTTGCTCATAATTGCGCATCTCTTCATCAGGGTCAAAGCTGTCCTCATTTGTTTCAGCAGCGTTCTCTTGGTCAATTTCCCTGATACCTGCAGCAAAATCTTGCTGAATAGCAGATCTGGAGTAGAGATTGCGTCCAGCAATGCAGATCCGGCTCATCTCTGCTTTGATCTTACCCTTTTCGGTTTGCAACGTTCTGACTTGAGGTCTCAGGTTATCAATCGCACGTTGCATCTTAGTGTTTTCCTGCCGAGCGTTCTTCTTGTTCTCCCTTAGCTCCTTGATCTTGCTCCTGATGTCCAACTCAGACAGTAAGACTCGCTCAACCTGGAACTGAACTTCGTCATCGGAGTCGGAGATTTTGTCGTCAGAGCCAGAAACTTCATCATCAGAGTTCTGTTGTAACTTCTGTCTCTTCAACGGTTGTCTATCCAAGCTGGTATTTTTGCGCTTCTTGGGCTGAGTGATAGGTGCGTACACTAGCTCTCCCTCTTGTACTCGCGCTTCGAGTGCCTCCCAGGTCTCAATTTCCTCGGCCAAGTTTTCCATCGCAAGTTTGTATACTTGCTGTGACTCTTTAAGTTCTTTGATTCTGCCCTGAACTTGTCCGATCTGTTCGTCGTAACTCCCGCTTTGCTGTTCGAGTTCTGCGATCTCTCCATCCAGCTCAAGACTATCAACCGCCTTAGTGATGGAAATATCGTCTGTTTTTGAGCAAATGAACGTTACGTTCGAAAAGCCACCGTCGTACTTTAACTGGCGCTTGAAAGAGTCTCCAAGAAGAGTCTTGGCAGCTTTGTCGTCTACAGCGCGATTGATCGGAGCAACGATCCACAGACCCGTGCATTGCTTTATGTAACCCTGAGCTACGGCAGCTCTAGCAACATTACTGTCGTGGACGCCTGGCAGATCCACAATTACGGCGCCTGTTGATAGCGCTGAGCTCTTGGTGTATATCTTGACGACTTTGATCAAAGGCCAGTACTCCATCTCAGATGACGAGGTTTGCGGCTTACTCTTGCTTTTGTTCTTTTTGGACACCTTTTCTTTACTGTCGACGTATTTTTGGAGCTCAATATAGAAATTTTCTGACCAGCTCATGTGTATCTGTTTAGTGGTTCCGAGAACGCTACTGACAGCGATATCCGACATGAGAGTGGGTATAGTGCTCTCGTGCAATTTATCCTTTGGCACAGATGGATAAACAGCGTGAAACTTTGCCCATGCAACGCCGGCATCGGAGTTTGAATCCTGGGCTTCGCGCGATAGTGTGTCATTCTCAGAAGAAAACTCTCGCATAAGTACTAAGAGCTCTTTTTCCCAATCTTCGGGACTGATGAACTCGATCTCCGCACGATACTTGGAAGAAGCTTGGTCACTGTTGTTCCAAGATATCTCAGTAACAACAGCGGTGCAAGCCCGCATGCAGTTGGTAGGGACGAGGCGCTCTTCATTAAGCATCGCGTTGATTACACTGGTCTTTCCAGCTCCTGTGTTGCCTACCACACCTATGACAGTGCGCTTTCGCTGAGCTTGTAGAATCAGTGTTGCTATAGTCTTTATCCAGGAGGCCACCTCTATGTTGGGCTTAGATGCAGTGCAATTGACAAAGGTCTGCTTGAAGCTTTCGAGGATTTGCATCGCTCGAGCTGCGCTAGCTTCGAGGATGGCGGAATTCTGCAGTTCAATGATGCGTCGAATGTTTCGGTCTAGATGGGCAAGGTCTTGTTCATTACCCTCGCCCGGAGATAACTGGGAGACGTAGGCGTCAAATCTCATTCTCTCTATCATTGCCATATCTTCGAGCTGTAGACTTGGCGAGGGTGAAGGTGATCTTTCGTGTTTAATGCGGGCTCGTTTTACGTCTAGCACAGGGCCGTTAATAGAAGGACTGAGTGTTATAGAGAGAACAAACGTACCATTGTGAAGCTCGGTAGGTAGAGTCGCACCAATGTCTTTCTCGTTTCTATCTTCTGCGTTCATACTTGACTGCATCGGATCGGTAGTCATGGAAGCGGCTATCCACTGGTGATGTATTTGATGTTGACGAGTTGAGCAGAGCAATGGACATTAGAAGACAAGAAAAAGAGGTTGCCGAAAAATAACTTTTCATCTAGGCATTGCCATGAAAGTGAGCGTGAGTTTATCCGCTAGTGACTGCGGCAAACGCTCAGCAAACACAACTGTGGGGCTGTAGAGGCGCACTAGTTGCGTTCTGTCACGTGACGGCATTTGGCTAGGGTTCTGGCGGTAGCTTCGGGAACACTGGCATACTCCGCTAAAGCTGTGTTCAGTTATGTCGTAGTATAGACACGTTGACATGTTAGTTTGATCCAGATAGTATCATGGAGATCAACTGAGGCAAATACGCGCATTGTATGGCATTCACTTTGTTGCATTCTCAACACTGTCTTTCACTATCAGCGTCGTCTTTCCCATCTTCGAGCTTTGTCTCGCTATGCTACTGTCAAAATTCAACAATGGCCTTGTTTCTATTATGTATACTAGCTGAAGACCTCGAAGTATAGATGCCTAAATCTCAATTCCATATCCTAAAGTAACGATGAGTGCGACACCACGACCGAAGCGTAAGGCCCCCAAAGCTGGTTCAGGAATCAATGGACTCATTACAGCATGTAACCAGAATGATCGCTTCAAACTTTTAGAGGATCCCACCGTTTTCCCGGGAGACTTGGACAACCCTATCCATACTGTATTTTCCAAGTTGGATAGTACAGGACCGATGAAGCAGATGCTGCAGCTGGCGTCGCATTTCCTTAGCCACGATGCACTTTTATCCTTCTTTATACCCTTGTTGTACGGCCGCGAACTTAAGGGCGTTATCAATAGCACATATAAATCCTATCTTTCCAATCCTCTGGTCAGTGCGTCCAGAGAAAATTATCGACTATATCTAGCTGGTGTGCGCGATGCGTTGGAATGTCTCAGTCACAGCGTTTCATTTTATTTTGTGTCACCTGTAAAACGGGTGTATGCACGCACTCTGAGAGAAGACGAACCATCAACTCACAGCACAGAATGTTATTCCCTATTCCAGCGAAAGTATTCTTGCAAGATTGAGTTAGCGGACTATTTCAAGAGCTACTATACCAGCGGTGAGTACGCCGCAGCGTCTCCATGTGCGCAGTTTCGCCACGATTTTCTCTTTGCCACTACGCTCGTACATGAGGTAGTCCATGCCATCGGTGTGCTGCGGCGAGGCAACCTTGACGAACCATATATTCGAGCTGATTGCCCAGATACCGAGTGGGGGTATGGCTGGGAGCATTTCATGTTTGGTTGCGTTATTAATCCACAAGATAGATCTAAGCCTGGGACACATCTACTGATGCGCAAAACATGGGCAGATCCGAAAACAGCGGAAGAGGCTGGAGGCAAAGAGTACTCAGATGTTTCTATGTCTTACATTGCGCAGTGGTTTCGCAAAGACACATGGGACATAGTTCGCAAGCAAGGGCCAACTGCAATTGCTGCTCCCATTACCCATTTTAAGATTCAGTCTTCGAACAAGCTCAGGGCTTGGGTGGTTAAAAGCGATTGCCCAGAAATCATAGATGATTTGATTGAACTACATGAACAATGGGGAAGATGTGCCATAAAGCCCAGCCCTGTATCAGGTTCTCCAACAAAAAACAATGGCCGTGTGCGATGTACGAAGATTCTATGGCAGTCCATGACTCCTGAGCAGCTCCAGGAACATAATGTACCTATACCGGTTCGTGCACCGCAAAGCATAAAAAGTCCTCTGCTGTCGTTCCAGAATCACCCAAAGAGCCAGCTGAAAACGTGTGAAAATATGCACACGGCTCTTGCATCCGATAAAGAAGATACTGCACTCTACAACACCCTCGATTCCGATTGTCGTCCTACTCGGAAGCGGCGCGCAGGTCCAGCGGAAGAATGCGGCCAAGCTAAAAAGGTTAAAAGGCTAGAAACAGGAGTTAGTCTAGATTCGCGTCGCCCAATCTCTTAGATAGTAGAGAGGTCATCGCACTTTATAGAAATAAAACAGTTATGTATAACTTTCGGCACTCCCCAAATTCCTTGATTGTATGCGATCATTTGCGACAAATGATCCAGCTTCACACATCACATATGCCGATTGTTTGATAACCGTGTATAACGACATCAAACCGGCTTGAAGATCACTGTCTCAGAGACGAATATTCTTGAACTCAAATTTGTCTCATGTTGTGAATAGCCATTACTATAACATCTGCTAACGATCTCATTGTCCGTCCTACATTCAGCTGTTCACGATCTTCACTTTCACACCAATAAATTTCGCCATCATGCCTTCTCGGCCTAGCCTACCATCCCACAATGTCTTTGTCAAAGACCTCATGATATCTGTCTCTCCATGCTCAGCAGACAACCACTGCCCGATATGCAAAGAAGAATATGACGAAAAGCACCTCCCCACCCTTCTCCGACCCTGCGGTCACATTTTCGGAAAACAATGTATACATTCGTGGTTTGCGGAGGGCATCAACACATGTCCCCTGGATAGAAACCAGCTCTTTGACTCGTCTACGTATGCTGAGAAAGACGAAGCTCGGCCGTCACCTCCTGTCGGTGACACTTCAACCCAACGAAACAGCACCAGGTTTAGCAACGCGAGAAGAAGCGAAGGCTTCCGTGGAAGGAGTCGGAGTATGGGCTATCTACTGTGTCTCAGCGGTGAAATCATCGCAGTAGATGGTTACGTAACACCAAACGGATGTCGTCGCCTGGTCCGCGATCTTTGGTATGAAATTGGCGTTTTGTTCGAACGCTTGCTGATTCACCCTGACGAGCTTGATCCTCTGTCTGTGAGCGATGACGAGATCCGTAGCTCCATCCTCGACGCGCTACCACGAGGCATTCATGTTGATGAAACAGCATGGCCAGCAATGGGGCATGTAGCAAGGACCATGTTGAATCGCTATAGCGTGGCATATGCGGAGGGATTTCAAGCGAGGATGACGGTTGAGGACGCAATGTGCTGGGGGCAAGATATCTGGGATATTTGTGGTCTAGATAGTACTGAAGATTGATGATAGTACAATTGCTATCATCTCTGCTGTCTGTTCTCTTTTGGGCTACGATAGGAGAAGAATTTTGATGTTGCCCCTTACTCAACGCATATAGCTGCTGTAGCCTTCATAGCCCTTTTATATGTCAACGACATGACTTGGTGTTGTCTCCTTAAGAGACTTATGTAATTAGAAAAGAATCTGATGTATCGAGCTGGGATGATGGAAGGGCCCAACCCAAACCAATTTGCAAAAGACCAAGTGCGAAGTTACTGTTGCAGCACTGATCACGCATTTGATAATTAGACGTTCTCACATAAGCCCTTGGTAATTATGGAAGATGGAGAGGAGCTGGTGATGAAGTTCGTCGACTTGGTCTTCTCCAATTTCATGCAAGCTATTACTGGCAAAATGTCCAGAACTTGCTACAGCATCTGCCAAGAAATAACGACTCCCTACCCTTGTCAAAAGTCTCTATTAATACGTAGAAATTCATTGTTTATCTCACTGCTTACCCGGCAGTCTGTATGCAAGTGGTCAGTCGCGGAATATGACCGGGTCTCCAACCGCCCCACAGCTCAATTGGAACGCTCGGACTCGGCGTGAGTTACAACTCTGATTCCCGGTAGATTTTCGAAACATCTCCAAAGCCCAGTATCCATAAACCTCCTCTAAAATCACTGGATTGCTGGTGGCAAGTGTGTTGTCACATGATGACGTTATAGCCGTTCTGAAGTGTCCTCGAAGGCTACGGAATTTCTGGAACGAGCACGGGCTAACCCTAACCGGCCCTCTCACCCCCCACATTTCGATCAATACCCTCAGTCGACCAAAAACTTCAACATATTACAAAGGGCTATACCATTTATCTTCTTATTAGACGGCTTCGACTGCAAGATTGTCCAACAGTCGGTGCTGTACAGTTATTTTGATTGCCGTTCCACTCCGGCCACAGCCCGGTCAAAAATCCTCACCGCCCACACTTCTTGGTTGCGCAACAGTAGCAGAACCCAAATACATACGCCAATTGTCCTACTGAGATTTATATACTGGCATCTTATTTATATAAGTACCAGTAGATTGCGGCACGATCTCTACCAGTACAGCTACTTCGTGGTACCAATTCAAGTAATCCACTTTGGACTGGCGTCCGCGACTATGATGCCCAACACAAACACCCCCTACAATCCTGCAGCTCACAGCACACCTACCACACTACTCCCAGAAGAGGTTTTCGGCTACATTGATGTTGTAACATTGGCAGATATCCACCGGTACCTCCGGGAGAGTGAGGCACAGGATGACATCGACCTTGCGGCATGGATCCAGGAGAACTATCTTTACGGTGTTGAAAAAGACCAACCTACAGCGACGATTCGTACAGCCCAAGGCTTTGCTCAGTTGGATCGAGCATACCGCCGAGTGCGATCACTCACTAACAAGGCTCAAGACAAGTGGCCGTTCTTTGACAGAAATTTCAAGGAAATGTCCTCAGCCACAGTGCGGAACAACGCACGCGGTGAGGCTGCCCCGGGAGTATTATATCCGATTGAAAAAGCGCAGAAGGCCTCGACTGCAGTTGAGCAGCTGGGTGCTTCATCCATATCCAATAGTAAGTGGAGTGAATTTGAAACTATTTTGAATAGCTCAAAGTAACTTTAGCTTCTTCAGCCCCGGGGCTCCAGGTGCCGTTTGCTTCGGTAAAGCCAAGCCGCCACCAGCTTTGTAAACAGGAGGAAACTCGTCCAGCGCAACAGAACCCAACTCTTCTCCCGTCCAATCTACCAGCAACTCCTGCTCAGCAGCAGGCACGTGAGAAGGTCTTAGTTCATTCCAAGAATTTGGCACAAGAGACTTCCATGTGTACGGGTACGTTGATTCGCATAATAGAGTCATGCTCACTTCACTGCACCCCACTTCTAACTTCTCACGGTCATTACCGACAATGCCTGGTCATAATAATACCCTTGTAATTGGCTTTTCGACTAACATGACACTCGCAGACACTACTACAGACGCCAACAGCCGAGAAATGATTGAAGCTGAACTGCCGCAGCCTGCGCCAACTTCAATCGGACGGACGCGCGACGCAGCTGAAGATGTCAAGATAGAGAACCCGTCTACCAGTCCATCGAGTGGTTCCAAACTTAACGATGATGACTCCAAAGCGAACCCCGTTCGAGATGCTGGAGGTGGCAAGGTCCGTGGACCGAATGGGCGATATCTGTCCAAGGATGACGATTTGTCCAGCCTGAAGAAGATTAAGAAACCCAGAGGAAAGGGTGGTAGACCAAGATTGAAGTCATCTGACGAAAGTAAGTTCATCTCGCCGCTTCTGTCACCCATGCGCAGTCACTGTTACCCTCTGCACATTTCGGTTGACCAGGCGCAAGAGCTACATTTGATCATGAAATACACATACTTACAAAGCCTAGATCATTTGATGACGGTGGATGGATTTTCAGATAAGCCCGAGGAGCTGTCAACTGGAGACGAGGATGTCTCCGTTGAAGTGCAGACACCTTCGACACCACCTCCGGACCAAAAGATAGAGGAACAGAACAGTAGGTGAAGGAAGAACTCGTACATCTGTTTTTGCTAACATTTTTGTAGAGAGCAACCCGGCTACTACACTCGCAGTCCTTGATACCACATCACCCCTTACTACCAAAAATGAGACTGAGAACCAAGCGACTTCCTTGACAGAGTCTACTCCTGCATACCTTGCAGCTGAAGCTGATCCGGTGCTTTCAAACTTGGATCGTCTACCGCCTAATTCCCGTAGGGCCATTAAGAGGAAGAGCGAGCCGGTTGTTCAGGAAGGGGAGCGCAAACGCGGTAGATATGGCGGCATAGTGGGCCGCCCGCGGAAGTCGGAACAACGTGAAAACCGCCAAAGTGCTCAGGGAAACGATTTAATACAAGTTCATGGAGAACATGGGCCAGATTCATTACCCCAGATGACGACACGTCGAAGTGCCAGGCAATCTGCTGCAGCGAACTTGGATACTTCGAAGGCCGACGAGCTAACGTCCGAGCATGAACAAAAAGACTCGAAGCTTTTGGAGAAAGAAGTAACAGCAGAAACTTCCCCGAGCAATGAAAGTATGACCACAGCGGAAGACAAGACTATGGGAGGCATGGAGGAGAAAGACATGCCTACCATTCACAAGAACACTCCTGCACCTGCCCGTAAATCAAAGAAAAAAGGCGCACGCTCGTCAGCTGAGCCTAGTACTCGCAAGCGTTCGGCTAAAACCCCGAAAGCAGATCTATCGAAGATGAGTTTGGAGAAAACCGCTCCCGTCCCCGCAACGGCATCGTCTACAGATATGGAGAAAGACGGAACCACGCCAACTTCGTCTGATTCAGCCGGTTTTATTACGGTCAGCGGAACAAAGAAAACTCATACTGGTCACTTGGAGTTGTTTGCGCGTCTGACTACCGGTCACGGTATCATCGAGTTCCCCATTCCCACCGATCAGCTTAACAGCGATGAGGCGAAGATGGTTGAAAAGTACGCCGAGTGGAACGCGCAACCAGATGCAGTCCCAGTCCCGTATGATCAGTTCCGCCAGATCTTCTCCTTCGCTAAAACGAATTGATGGGCTAGTCTTATATGGTATTCGAGGTCATAGTGAGAGTTCGGGGTAAAGGAATATGTACAAGTAGATTGATTGATCAATTGATTCATTTAGTCTTCTATAGATCATGTAATCGGGCCAAGCCCAGGACTTACCTAGCACTGAATTTAAACACCTGCGTATATGTTTAATACGCAAAAGTGGTATTCTCTTCGTTTTCCCTGTCATAACCTGAGGACGTATCGTAGTTCTCTACGTTGCTAGATTCTTCACTATGGTATCGTATAATCTCCCGAGACAAAAAGCACATCCGTCTAAAAACTAAAATGGCTGTGGCTGTATTCAAGTATATCTGCAACCGATCCGCACTTGAAAGTGTCAGTGACATCCCTAATCGCATAGTAAGCCTGCAACTTGGCCTCCTTGACCCTTCCCCTCGTTCTTCTAGAACACGTAAATTAGTAATAGCACCGAAAAAAGCGTTTACCTTGACATTTTAGAGCGTGCGTTTTTTCCAAGTGAGTTCTTGGTTTTCCTGCAGTCACCTTATAGACACAATTAAGAGTGGGAATACGGGGTTTTCGTTTGCGCTAGAAAGGCGCAGGGGCGGGGGTGGTATGTGCTATGTATATTAGAAGACTGGGGTTGAGCATGATTGAGACAGAGAAGAAGGGGAGATGTAAATGATATAGCAACCAAGAAGCTATTTAATGCAAAGAGAGAGAGAGAGAGCCAGAGGACTAGAAGGGAAAGCGATGTGAAGCACAAGAGACTTAGCTGTAATACAGGAGTGATTGGATATACAACGGAGAGCAACACATCATGCCGTAGCTGACGCCAAGGTAGGTATATTGCTCGGGCCGTTTAACTTTAAGAACAAATTACTGGGGTGGAGGGATCAAGACAACTTAGTTGAGATGACCACTAACCGCAATCGGGAACCGTCGTGCCTAGCGCTTCCCTATGCGTGAGAACATCTCAGTGCAGACACGACACGGGCCTACAAATATTACCTAGCTGGTACGTTTGTTGTATGCCCAGCAGGGCGTACTGCGTACACAGTATTTCACGCTGCTACCTCGGCGGCTCGGCGAAGTAGCTCGTCGGGACTTTAATGATGATAGACAGCAACTTACTCACTATATAAGAAATCGAGGATCCCTCCCAAGAATGTACTCTCTACCTCGACATCAAGAACGAATAGATCAAAGCAAATCTCGAACCGACACAAATCCTCAACATGCACGCCAGCTCCTTCATCGCTCTCGCCCTCGGCGCCACCGCCGTCTCTGCGGCCGCTTTCCCCAACGTCGAAGCCAGACAGCAGTCATGCGAGCCGTACTGCAACTTCCCCAACCTCCCCAAGATCCTCGACTGCCCGAGAAATGGCGGCCAACGCCTCACTAAAGACGTCGTTGCCAAAGCGCTTCTTGCCGCTGATAGGAGTGAACCACCGCGCGAGACCAGTGCCAACAACCTTGCTACGTCGCATTGCAACGGATCGCGATTTTCCGGCATTCCTCTCTGGACTGTAAGTCTCTCTTGATAACGCAATAGCTAGTATCTTATCTTAATCGCAATACTAACGTGGAGATGTATAGACTGACTTGCCTAACGGAGCTGGCGGTGCTTACTATGCTATGGCACGTAACGGCACCTTTTGGCTTTGCGGCACGATTTCGACGGCAGTTGGGTCACCTGTGCGCACTAGCTGCACTTTCAAGAACTAAGTTTGGGGCTAGAGATATCTGTATACATTTGAAGTTGTCTAATAAGGGTCACTGTAAATAGAAAATAAAGTGTTAATGTAATGCTTCCCTCTTAGATCTTGCTAATAAGCATGTTATTATAATCAAGTACATAATATGTTATAGCTTAAGTATCGAATTAACTTTAGTAGCAAACTTGACCAAATTGATGCGAGAAACAGAACAAGCTTCTTGATACTATCTTGAATAGGTAAGTCCAGCTGAGGTTGTGCTTGGTAGTGATAGACTGCATGCCGTTTTACTTTATGAAACTACAAAGGCTCGTATACATCACGTGGAGAACTGGCTATTCACGTGTTCGTTTAGACCGTTGTACGTCGACGGAGGCCTTGAACGAGGAGTCCCTTGAATGATGTCACGTGAAATGGGCTTGGCACAGGACGCCTGGTTTGGGGTTGTTATTTTGGGGCCAGCAACGGACGAATTTGTTTATTTCCTCGATCCACTTGTTACAGGTTATCATGACAATGTGACGTATGGTATGACTCGGTTCTCGGCGTGTCCGGCCAAACCTTACTTAAAGAGTGAAGCCTTTTTTCTGAATACTATCACTGGAGGGGATACACAGTTCCGATGATCATCCTGACAGATAATACGGACGTGTTCCTATTTCAACTTTTAGATATAGCACTCCGTCTTCGGAACGGTAAAGTAGATGACATTAGTCAAACCCGCGCTTTTCGCCTTCATGTCTACTCTACAAGCTTGCATAGCGTGACCAACAAAACCAAAACCCGGTCGTCCACGAACTGCAAAAGGAAGCTCGCAAATCCAATGCCATCAGCCAAAGCGTACCTGAAAAGGCATGTAGCATGTCGACTTCCCCCTTAACGACAATCACGGCAACCACTGCCCAGGCACTCCACGCCCTCCCGGCCTCGCCGCCACCTATCACACCCCCCATACCCTATCACTTCGTACCAACCCCCTCCCATGCAACAAAAAACGCATCCAAGAAACGATCACCAGCCGCCCAAGTCCTCCTCTCACCTCCTTATCTTCACCACCACTCCAATCTCCGCCATGCACCCATTTCTATTTTCAACCCCAGCGCTGTTCACATGTCCCCCGGGCCGCATATGCATGAGGCGTGCAGCTTGCATAGCCCTCGCCCATCCACCATCCACCATCCACCATCCAAATCCCCCTCCCTCCCTCCATCTCCACACATCCCACCCATCCATCCATCCATTCATCCATCTAATCTCACGCCTTAGTACGCATACACGAACCCACCCCATCTTGCAAATCCCGTGCCACAATCAAAAACCCCACAACCCGTTTTTTTTTTCTTGACACGCAACACGCAACTCACACCGTTACCCGGTGTCGTATAACATTACACTTGCTTAGCCTACGCCACTCCCACTTTTTTTTTCTTTCTCCCGCTGATCGTCGTTTCGCGGGTTTCGGCAGGTACGGACGCCGAGGATCGTTTGGGGTTTTTTTGGTTAAGTAAACGGTGTGAGCAAGTTTGTGGGGTGGTGGGTGGGACTACTACTACTGCTACTACTTCTACTACTACTGCTATCATGCTTGTTCATCCACGCCAAGGGGAGGGACGGGGGACATTGTGGATTTGGAGAGTGGTACCGGCTGTTGTAGTCATGTTTATTCTACGGGTATTTACATAGATACTTGCTATAAAGCGGAGATTTGTGGTTCTTCTGGCCCCCAAAGACGTGTTTATCTTCCCCGCGGAATGGCGAATGTCCGCCCTAGCGTGTATGTGTTGTCTAATGTCCGACCTAGTGCGTCTTTGTCGCTTGCGTGATTGTTTGACGGCTAGGCGTGCATGTGGTAAGGCGTGGGCGGACATGGCCGATGTCACGAGTAAGTAGTATAGTGATGTGTGGTTTTTACTATGGAATTTTGCAATGAGGCATTGAAGTATTTGGGAGTTCAAACTCCAATTGATTATGTTCTATGTCTGTACGCTGTTGCAATTCGAAACTTCTGAGACAGTGACGAAGTTACAAAGTACTATTTGATCTCTCCTCCTCCTCGGAACTTGTTATAAAGATCAGCATCTCATGACGGAGGTTTGTCCAACATCAAGTCTCCGCTCCGTTAAGGCATTCCGCGAGGCTTACTTTACTTGTCGTCACTTAAACATTGGCGTTGGCCATCTTCATATATTACGTTCGGACCCACTGTGAATGAAACGTGATGGACCATGCATCCTATGCGAAGAGGCGTACGACCCCTGTTGAGGATATTACTCATACCCATGCGCAGAGCATTTGCGGGTGTGGGGGCTGCATTTCCCGATGCGGTAAGAACGGAGAATACAAAGGCCGCATCAGGGTGTACGTCAACATATCTGGCTCTTTGTCGCATGTGAAAGGAAAGATGACAGGGATTAAAGTTTTCGTTTTTGTGGGTCAGTGCATTCCAGAATGCCCGTATCGCCGTATGGATGGTATGCAGAGTCCTGGTCAATGACTTGTGTGACTTGTAGCGACTATGCAAGTTTGCGCATAATGACGGCTGCGTTTCCGATTCGTATACACTATCCGAGCCAATGCATGGAAAAAAAACCAGGCAGCTTGATCAATGTGCACCAGTGCATCGAGAAGGAACTACAGATCTGTGCTGCTGGATAGCAAGACCATCGTGCTCTGTGATTAACCAGTGGTGATGCTGGGTTTTCTTACACCCGCAAGTAGTGAAAAGAAGGCGTAATCATCATACGACAATGATCAGATCTTGACAGCTCCGCAAGGTATCAAATCTTAGTATTTCAAATCCACGCCACATGCTTTGAATGGCATAATGGTGAAAACTGTTTATCGTAATGCTGCGCTGATTGTCGCGCTTCCATTATCTTCGTTCTGATGTCTTATCACGCTGGACGTACGTGTTCGTCATCTTCGTGTGCGTCGCCATTGTGCCTCTAGTTCTCGTGCCCTCGCTGCAGCCTCCAGTCTCTTTCGCTCTGCCATTTCTTCCTGGCTCTGTTGGTAATTGGGTAACTCATCGTCTCCTCGCGGTGGGTCGTTCAGTCCTAACAATTCCAGTTCCGCGTTTACTTCATCCATCTGTGGAGGTGGTTGCCATGGCTGATACGAGTCCACAAACATATCCAGTGAAGGTTGTGGATGATTGAGCGCGGGCGCTGCTAGTGACGAAATGAGTGGTGGGGGTTCAAAGTTCTGCCAGTCATCTCTTTGTTCTCGCTGGGGCCGTCGCATTGGCGGGGCGCATGATTCCTGGGGGTGCTGCAATGGCAGGGGAATGCTGTCGTTAGTACTCCGACGAGCGAAAAGCGAACCTCGGAGCTGTGGTGGTGCACTGGGAGAGAAAGGTTCAGTGTCGCTCGGCAGACCAGTCATTGCCTCTGCAAAGAGGTGAAATTGTGACATGTCCGTAAAAGGCTCTGTAGGTGAAAGACAAGTCGTATGCGGCCGTGGTCTACTGGGTGCTGTATCGCGTGGTGTCGAGTTGAGGGTTGGGTCAGGAAAGGTGCGAGTTCGGGGCGATATCATTTCGAGGTGGGCATCGGAAGAAACCGTACGTCGTTGCTGAGATAGTGATGGCGGATTCTGTGGCGGCGTAGAATACGGCTGGTACTGGAAGGTTTCTGAGAAATCCGTAGCTGGAAATTGAGTCTGGGGTAGATGTTCTGCGCTGCTGCAGGGCGACTGAACGAAACCACGGGGCGAATTAGGCATACTGTGAGAGTGAATATGCGAGTAACGGGCATGTGTTTCCACACTCAAATCTGTGGAATGCCGTTGGTTCGGTTGGTAGGGTTCGGGCTGCAGAAGTGTCGAGTCTAGTTGGCGGGGAGGCTCGCGACGGAGAAGGCCAAACAATGTCGAGCATTTGCTAGGTTTCCTTTCTGAATTTGAGGGCGAGGGTGGTAGTGGTTTGTTGAGATCTGAGTTTATGATTGGCGGCGATCGCAACGGCGTGGTTGGGTGAGAGGAGCATGAGCTAAATCGGTGTGCCGTGGCTTGGTATGCAGATAGCTTTGGCCCGTCTTCTTCCTCTTCCTGATGTCGGCTCGCAGAAGCCGGAATGTTGTACCAAAGCTCGTTGGCCGGCCGCAGAGGACTGGGTCTGTGACTGTCGTGCGCCATGGGCCTTTGTTGTTGGTGCGGTGTTGAGGCGAGATCAACGCGCAGAAGAAACAGGTCAGCCGGCGCGACTGACTTTGGCGTGGACGACAGGTTCTGGGGCTTATAGCTGGAGATTGTCATGGGGATCGTCAGCAGGTGGGCGGCGGTGGCATGCTAAAGGAAGCTGTGTCGCATGCAGATGAATCCAGGGCTGGGACCAGGGGTAGATAGGCTGGGCCCACGACGATGGTTTTAGAGTAGTGGTTAGATGCAGTGCAATGGTGGAGCGCTACTGCAACATGTAGTATTCGGGCAAACCCAGAGATTAATACCGGTAGCCGAGTTGCAGTCTGACAGGCCCAAGTCTTCTAAGTATGCTTTAGCGAAGCGGATGTATAGTATTACCAGACGGGACGACAGCGAAGTATATGGATCAAGCGGCAAGTGTGGCGTAGCCAAGGATAGTAGTAGCCGACGCAGCGCGCAGGGGCAGGCAGGACAGAGAGTGGTGAATTGCTATGTATGTAGCTATGTGTAGGTACGGAAAAGGAGAGTGATGTTAGCGCATAAGCCAGAAACCACCTGTCCAAACGCATGTCATGACGAGAGCAACAAGATAGATGCGGGGACAGACCCCCAGCTGAAAGAATGGTGTTGACGGAAAGGGATAGAGACTTGAAGAGTCGAAAGGATTTTTGAGGCGGCTTGCTGGCCTAATCCCTCCGGCCAAGGCTCACACGACGCTTATCACACTCAACACGAATACGGCACAAAAAGTGTAGCGAAGGTGCAAGCGGTGAGGCTTAACATGGTCCATGCTACTACCCAACCTCAATGCAGCCAGCCGGCCACCTGAGTCCTCCTCCGCGCATAAAGGGTTGATCATGGACGCGCCGAGCGGGATGCGCGCAAGCGGCAAAAATCCTACTACTCTAGCAATGCAACAGCTCGTGCGAGTGGCAGTGGCAACAGCAACGGTAACGGCAAAAAAGGCGGCCATCCATGATGAGATGAACGATGCAGCGCATGCACTGCCTCAGCTAAATTTAGATGCATGCGCCCTAAAACCACAACGTGGTAACTAGCCGAGGTCCTGGCTGCATGACCTGTCGTTGCCCCGGCCGCAACCATCATCTCGACGCACCATGGCTTGATACTCTAGTGCCGTCAAGCTGCCCAAAACTATTCACTCTTCTCGTCCTGCTCACTGCCGTCTCCATCGGTGCCTTGGCTGCTGACGGCATACGTATGGCCTAGGCCTCTTACATCTCAATCGGCGTCATCACCAATTGTCCACAACATTAAATCAGCCAGCCGTCATCGTCGTATCTAATATCAAACTTTCGGCTCAATGCAAATCGGTCACGTGAGCTCTGCTCCACTACCTTAGCGCGTCGCATTGCAGTGCTAGCATCAAAACTGCTCAAGTCACGCATGTCTGCTTTAATAAACAAGTGGTTGGCTGTGGAGTTTGGCCTTTGCTAGTAGCATGCATCTCCCTCCCTCCGCCTTTATCACAACCTCGCAGAGCTCTTGATTTGCGGGGCGTCTAGTAGGGCCCAAAGATCGGGTCTTGTCATCTTGACCGATCATTTTTTTCCCGTATCCGCTAGTACCCATATGCTACCCCACAATGCGGAAAGTTCCTACCGTCCTCGCCAAACCAAAAAGCACGTCTCTGTAACCCATCCGTATGGTCAGACTTTGTGCAGAGCATAGTAAGCTCGTACGAAATAACGGCGGGACAGTTGTGTCATTCATCGCCCATCTCACGGAGACAATGAACCACGGGTACGGGTCTAGACGTGTGGCGTTAGAGTTTGTACTTTCATACATACAACAACCACTAGTGATATCTCAGGGGTGCACAAGCTCACATAGGATGTGGCGAAGAAACTCGAACCACCAAAATTGCACGGCCTGACGGCTGTCATTTGTACAAACTCTACAATAGGTATCCACGTGTTCGCTATAGTCACGACAGGCATGGCATGCCGCTAGGTATCATGGCTTGTTCTAGGCCTTTTGAGTTTGAACTCGACACAAACTCCTTTTTCTCAGCCCCCTCAAAGAATAACAAAATACAAACTAGTCATGTTTGAATGACGTGAGAAGGGTGCCATTTCATACTAGCAAGGCTCTGTCTCCAACAAAGAGTCATGTGCGTGGACAAGGTGTTGGAAGAACTACGCCAGTGCTTAGACACGCGGACTCGGTTTGTTGTTTCCGTGACACTTCAGTAAATACCATTTCACTTACATAGCTGACTGTATACGCAATTTCAAACGGACAACCCTTTCCGGTCTTATTTCCCTAGTGTTGTCCGCATTGTACCCCTTGGCCGGTAGATACCATCTTTCGATCGTCGGACAAGCTCTTCAAAGATTGACTTTCTTGCCACATGGCTTCTTCAAGGGGGTGGCTTACTTGGACCCATCATCCCATGCATCACTCAGCTGAGGACACCCTGGAAAGCAACAACACACTCGGCCTAAGAGATAAAAACGTGACCAGGTAATTTCATTTAAATTGACCAACCGGAGCTAGTAAATTACGATTAGTCAGAAAAAGGTGATTGAGAGGATCTGTAAACAACTCTGAAGAGACTGAAAAGCACATTGATTCAAGTGTCACTACGCAAAATCACAATTGCAAAGCAAATGTTAATATTTTAGTTGATAGTATTCAATTTAAAAATAAAACTATCCTTGAATTAAATCATTGCCCACATTCTGTACACCCGCAAAATCACTCCATCTCCCTTCCACCATCTATCGGCGGCACCTTCTTCCCCAACCGCACATACTCCCACATCCCCGGCAGCATCACCAGCGAACCACGCCATAGCCGTGTTTTATGCGTTACACCAAGGGACTGTGCGTACACGGATGGCGAAATGTATGGGTGGTCTGAGCCGTATGATAGGAGGGGGACTTGGGAGGGTATGGGGAAAAGAGAAAATAGTGAATATCAAGATAAGGTATGCAAAAAGGAATTAGTTACAAAGTAGAATTAAGGTATGGAACTTGTGATGTTATGGCACTATCTCTCTCTCTCATTAACCTAAAAGAAATACGTGAATTTTCGAAGAACTATTGAGGATTTAACCAAGTCTCTCGCCACTTCCCGAGATGCGTAGAAATGAAGAAGAAAAAGAAGTCTTTTTTTTCCTTGAGATTTTCTCTTTGATTAAACACTACCATTAATCCCAAGCTAATTGCGAAGATTCATTGCGGAAAAGATCCATATACGTAAGAAACCTTTCATTTCTTTCTTCCAACTCGTACATGGTTAACTTAGTACAATGTGAGCGATGCCGACTAGCGGATTGACAACTAGGCCTGGCACCTCTCACCTTAGAGGTACTTCCCTTAAGTAGTTATCCTGAGCATTGAAATCCACGAACATACAGGTAGAAGACAAAAAAAAAAAGAAAAGTACGAGTACGTGATTGGAATGCACGAAGGAGAAGGAGAAGTATGTGAAATAAGATATGTGATGCCACCAACCAACTCATTGACTACATCCACCTGTGAAGTATACAACCCCCCCATATGACCCAGTCCGACACCTCCCTGTCGCACGTTAAAAGGCGCATCTGCACATCCACCCATCATCCACCAATCTCCACACAAAATCTCAAAGAAGCCACCATCCAAAAACAATGGTCGAGCACTGCAAGCGCCTCCGCGTGCAATACCGCCCTCAACCCCGACAATCCTGGCACCTCCTCAAAAACCTCGGCAAGCTCAACGGCGGTTTGAAAGCGGGCATCGCAAAAGTATCCTGCAGCAACCCCTCCGCACGAGGCATGGTCTTCATCGAAAAACGCTTTCGGGCTCAAGAATTCAAGTACAGAGTTGCTCATCGCGAAATTCAACTGCTGCACCAGATAAGCGATCACATGAACATTGTCACAATGGTTGATCATTTCCTCGACAAAGGAGCGCTACGCGCGGCCGTGTACCTGGAGTACTGCGATCTGGGGAGTCTGGATGTGGTAGTATATCAAGTCGCCAAAGGAAGGCATGTCCACGAGCGTAAGGTGTGGAGCTGGTTTTTCCAGCTGTGCGGCGCGCTGACGTATTGTCATTGGGGACCGGAGCCTAGCAAGAGCGATGACGAGATTTTTCAGTCGGGGTGGAGTAGGATTTATCATCGGGATATTAAGCCAGGGAATGTGCTGTTGACTAAAGAGGGGGGACAGATAGTGGTGAAGCTGGCGGACTTTGGATGCGGAGTTTCCGAGGACCATATTGCGCAGGCGCAGAGCGAACAACTTGCTATAAAGCAGCAAGTGGGAACGCCGGGGTTCGATGCACCAGAGTATCCGTTCTTTGGGGGAGCGTCGGATGTCTGGCAGCTGGGGGTTACGATGATGTGCTTGTGCACGGGGACCATGTCGCCGAAGAGTCGCATGAATCCTGGTGGTCAGATATGGGATAAGTCGAGACCAGCGGGAGACAGTTATTCGGGCAGGCTCAATTCGAAGATCAAGCTGTGTATGGCGACAAGGCCCCAGCAGCGATCCACCTCCTATCAAATTTTGCAACTATTGGACCAAGCAAGTGTGACAGAAATGTCAACGTTGTCCAAGGATAGGCGTCCGCTGGCACTATTCGAGCCATACGACCGAGAGAGCCCTCCAGTGATGAATCATATGCCAGCATTCGAGTCAGGACCCGAATGGCCACTGTTTCTGGCTCAAGGCGGAAGGTAAAGATGGAATCAGATGAATGCACCGGCCCTTTCATTCTTTTAAGCCATAGACTTTGAAGGCTCAAGAGTATCGCGCCCATACTCATTCCCTGGATGTTCTCACAAGCACATATACGTTGATTCTTCTACAAGAAGCGGTTTCGGGCACGATTCGATTCGTAGTGTGGTTGTCGATGAAGGTCGAGACGCCAGCTCAGTCTAATATTGTTCTCAGGCTATTCTGTTTTCACTGGTTATGCCAGCCCCAAGATTCCTCAAGTTGTGCAATCATCGCGGTAGGAGGGAAAGCATGTGTTTGTTCACAGCTGTACCACAAATCGCGGAGGCTTTGTTGCTCCTCTCTTATGGTGAATCGGTCGCCAACTATGTACATTAGAAAGTGTTCTAGAAACAAATGCAAGAAAAGAGTTATGTATGAGCAAGCTCCAAGTAGAGCACGTACCTAGTGCAATCGCATAGCATGCGACAAATATGCAGGGAAATACTTTAGGATTTGATTGAGCGACACCGCACATTATGCGTACGTTCTCTTGTACAGCCTTGTCCACGACGGCACGTGAAGCCTTGTGTGCAGGCCCAAGCTGCGGTATCGTAGGGTCATGTACAATCAGCAGTGTATGAGCTAGGAGATTGTACTGCATGCCCATTACATGCTCTTTTCGATGTAGGCGGATATCTGGAAAGCTGTTTCCGCTCGAACTGTCTTTGTGGCGAAAATAATACGGATCGAAGCTGTCAGGTCTGCACTGGTTCCACGCTTTGTTCTCGTCCATGAGCTGATTGTAGCGAGCGATGCTATTTCTGTCCTCTCCAAAGACAAAGTTGCTCACATCGCCAAGATGTGCAATAGTCCGCGTAGCCCACATTGAGTCGGTAGCCGGCTCGAGTGAGCGGTCTGCAGGGAATATGTGTAACTTGAAGGCTTTTTGGGTCATTAGTGAGATCCACAGTTCTTGACGAAAGGCGGCCCAGTATATGGCCTGGCGCCAGTCTGGTCCAGATGTAGCAGCATACGACTGTTCAGCAGCGCGAATAATCGCTTGAGTACCAAAAAGATGGCCTTGAGGGTCACTTCCTACAACTGAAATGTTCATCTCCTCCAATAGCCGTAGAATAACGGTCGCTGCAAGCAGTGGCTCTTCCTTGATGGTTGAGTTGTCATTCAATGCAGGGATCAAAGTGTCAAAGCATCTCTGGTAGTAAGCATCAGCAATGTAGGGATCAAAGTCGGCAATCCGGCTAAGCTGGCGTGCGGACAAGGCGAGGATAGCATTCCTGCATCAAGTCAGCAGGCAGCTTCTTATAAGAGTGGGTCCTACACGAAATTACACACATTAGTGTACTGTTTTGTTTGGCCATCTGGACAATGTGGCAGCCAAAATGATCTCTAGAATCCATCATATCAAACTAACAATAGTGAGCAGAAAACTTCTTGTTGCTGTCAACGGCCAAAGACTCACAAACAAGGCAACATTTTCAATATAGTGCTGAAGCAGCATAGCCTCCTGCTCCTGCTCCAATGGCCATAGAACCGGCTCGCCAGGAGGCTGCTGATAAACAAACGTGCTAGCGTTGGCGTCGTCGTGCCTTTGATAAGCACTCGTATTTGGTGGCTGACCCGGGGTCATAGATGGCGCAGAAGTATTCCGCTGAACAGGCGACTCAGAATTTAGCAGCGATAAGACCGTCAAGCCCTCCGTGGGCGTAAACAGAGTAGAGTTTGGAGTCAAGTTACTATTGTCCTGGCCACTTGCCGAAGGACCAGGCGATTGATACAAAACAGAAGATCCGCTAAAAGGCGAGTCGCCGTTCTGAACGTAGTGTGAACGAATCTCTGGGGATTCATCCAAAAACTGAACTATAGCGCATTCCATTAGCAAAAAGCCGCCACGGTACACGAGTAGTCGTGGTTTTCCTACTTCGGGGTGGGAACGAAACCCAGGGCTGGGCAGAGCTGAACGAATCTGATATGGAAGATCGCCGGAAGCGTCTACCACTCTCGTATACGCATTCCTTTTTGGCATGTTCGCATCTTCCGCATTTCGGCTGCTTCCCGTCGCCTATCGCAGGATCATTAGCCAACGGGGGGTGGGGAAGGGGACCGCGGATTTTAGCCACCCGCCTCAGCGCTCGTAGCTTACATCGATAGTGACGCGAGCGGCATCGAATACTAGATACGGAGTGTCAATCAAAGTGTAAACAGCG